CCCCCCCCACCCCAATTCCCTGCCTCTCCTCTCTACCATCTTTCAAAAGATCCATAGATACAGTACATGATGCCAAATAGAGCTTAAAAAAACCCATCATGTGATATGAAATCATGCCACTGAAAAAAAGACGACAAGTTAGAGGATGGACAGATGCTCTGTTGATTTTCTTTAGATCTATTTTTGTATTGGGATTGTGGTTCTGTTACTGAAAGTACAGCGTCAACTATGATGAACAGGTAGAGCGCTAAATGGGAATCGAGCAAGCAGGGGGATAAAACACCCATTCGTCATCTATATCATACCTTTCCCTTTAGCGACACAGTCTGCTTATGATAGTGCTTAATAATAAAAATGCTTTATACTGCCATATGATAGAGGAATAACACAAGCAGGTCCATTCCTTGGGTGTATTGTGCACCACGCTCCACACCTGCCACTTATCTTACTCGGCCATTCTTTTCGGTTCACGTACATTCCTAGAGTTGGGTAGCAAGTAGTGTTAGGCACATATCCAGTTACCCACGGACACACTGCCTTTTCGATTAGTTCACCTTTCACCCATCATCTCAGGAATACTGAGAGGAGACTCCACGCCTTTTTTTCTACACGGGTTGTTATGATCAAAGCGCGGTGAGAGAGAAACCACTTGATCGCATTTCAGGAAGGCGGTTCTCCATGCAGATGGGTAGATGGATCTTCAGTTTCAAAGATGAGGGGAAATGTGTGTTTTTATGTGTCTTTGACTGTGATTGCAAAATATCATTTCAAGGGACTATCAGAGTGGCAACAATGACCAAGACTTGACTGCTCCCACCAACGACATGACATTTACATGGTGTCGGTTGTCACTGCCTGCCGTCCACCATCTCCCGTCCCAACGGCACCGTATCTCACTCATTCAGTGCTACTGCCATAAGTCATGGACTCCACATAAGGGTTTCACCGCTGTACCGTCCTACAGTCATAAAGGAGACAAGCCTTCCAAGTATCAAAATAAGCAATTTTCAACTACCAGGGACGCCTTCCGCTTAGTGTTGTTGTTCTCTTCATTTTGATTCATGCCATTACTTTATTTAAAACACCTTAATTCCTCAAGCACTTTAACTCCAAATGTTTCAATGTTGAGAGGGAAGAAATTTCATCTGTGCTGTACAGCACATTTGACAATAAAGTTGTATTCAATTCAATTCAATTCAATAAACATTGTTCAAAGCCAGAGCTTTAATGGTTACTTTTAGGAAGAATTATTCATGGGATAATCGGTGGAAGTGATTGTGTGTATTTTATGCCGCAGATTTGTGTGTCTTTTAATTGTTTGGGTGTAACTTGTCTCGGATGGCAAAGATAATGGCTGGTGCAGGGCACTGATTCATGTGTGTTTCATGCACAGTGTACCAAGCAGCTGAATTTAATTGCACTAACTGCGAATCTTTCTGTTCGGTAGTACGCTGTTCTTTAGTCTGATTTTTTTTTTTTTTTCCCGAGGGGATGAAATGTTTTTGATTGATTGATTCCTGGTTCTGTCTTCGGTTCACTGTATTTTAAATAGCTCAAGTTTCTGAATTGCAAAGACTTCATTTCATGAGCACAATTGGACAACTATAACTGCACCAGTACTAACAACGAAAACTACCAGTTGACTGTGCTTCGTCAATATGAATCAAATGCATTTTGGAAGCGATAATCATTTTTCTTTATTGCCACCAATTATTAAGAATTCTTCATCATTTTTGTGTTGACAACACTAAAGAAAAGGTGACATGGAAGCAATCAAGCAACCCGTTGGTGTAATTTTGCCTATATACATAGTTCATCCATGTTGAAACTGCATGTTTATACAAAATACTGTACATAAGAGCATGTTTTAGAGACGGAGCAAAAATATCTCGTGTACTTAAATGGGTGTCATTTGTCATTTTATTAACACACCAAAAGTGGTTTAAAAAAAAAAAGATGCACTGTATATTTTCTAAATGAAACAAATGAATATTTATTTTCCATGAGGGTCATCGGAGAGAATGCCATCCAGATGTTAGCGTAATACTACTAATTACTAGGATCCTTTCCACGCCTGAAATTCTTAAGCAAGTGTGTCGTCCAGTACTGTGCGTGAGTTCATGTAGGATGAAAATATACTGTAGCCGCATGCTTGCTATCTAACTCCTTGTGGTCCGAGTACTATAATTTGCTTTTATTTTTTTTTAAAACATGCTTACCATACGTCTTGGTTCAGAGCTTATATGAAAGCTACTTTGGCTTTACTTTGAATCTTGTTTAACTTTAGTTTTATTTTCATTTTTTTGTTTGTTTGCTTTGTTTTGTTTTTAAATGTATGGAACAAGGGTATTAACCAAGTCTTCAAGCCTAAAATTTCCAAAAATATCCTGACTATTACAATAAAGAGCAAAAATAATAGCTGTATTATAATGTTTGTGCCAATGGTGATCCAGAATAAAGTAATGTCTGGATTATTTCTTCCAGCGGGGCCAAAATAATGAACAAGCCTATTCCACTGAACACAAATGACTTGGAGTTCCCTGTCCCCCCTTTCCTTGCTTTTCATTTATTCTTTGTATTCAATGACCTTCTCGGCTATGTGTCTTCAACTGTGTTTATTATACAATATATGTAGAGAAGTTGAATGATAAAACTAAAGCCATAAAACTCAAGCACTAACTCTTTAGAGCTCAGCTGCATAGAGTTGGTCCTGACATTCGGTTTGGAGCTCTTTGTTCATTAAGAGGGCAATATCTTAGACAAATGTGTGCATCCACAACACTTTCTTAGGGCAGATGTATGTTTTATTTATTCATTGACAGTAGCCTATCTTTTAACAATGGTAGGCTGAGTGTATTATTTATCACCGTCATGTCACACCATTCTTCATAACCCTTCCAAAATGATGTACAGAGGGCATTAAGTGTAATGTCTCAACTCAACTGGGGTTGCCTGCTTTTTAGCTTAGCATAGTTTTGATGAAAATGACTAACAAAATGGTTTCAAACCCATTTTTACAAAACCAAGAACAACTTGTTACAGCAAACATTTTAATGCTTGCTTGCTTGATTATAAAAATGTAAACTAAACAGCTAGCAATGCTGTTTCTAGCTGGATGCACTTAGCTAATTGAGCTTAATTTTTACAAAATAATAATAATAAAGTGTTGTCATATTTACTAGCTAGAGAGGTTCAAGTTGCTGAGCATAGCTTTACAGACCATGCTGTAAAATACTTTCACCAGAACCATAGTCATGGCTCCATTGTTTGGAGCAAGGCTAAGCTAATAATACAGTCGTAGGAAAGGTTACCTCCTCCCAGTTTTAGCTCATGCTGCTATCGTAGACAGAAATATAACCCTTTGCAGGAGGTTAGCTTAGTGTAAAAACTGTTAATGTTTCCAAAATTATAAACACGAGCAAAAGGAATTTTGCTTAACTTGGCCAAGAATTAGCTTTTACTGCTACGCTGATGATCTGAGTAGAAAATATTTCAGTGTTTTGGAAAGACGGCCAGTCCCTTGCTGCGACCGACTGCATTTGTTGCCTGATTTCGCAGGGCCAGACTTGTTTACACAGCAATATGTGAGACGACAAAGCAAAAGTAACTGCAGAAACAAGCACACAGATGAGATTTTCAGTCTCTGCTATTGTCACAATCGATGAGGCTCGATTGCGGTACAGAAAGGATTGTGTATTTGTTTGGAACTGAAGTAACAACCCTCCGCAGCAGCCATGGTGCAACACTCGCGTCATTCTTTAATATTCATTCCTAAATGTGCATCTGTATTCAAATGTTGCTCGCTATCTTTGGTTGTAACACGCTACGTGCGCAACTGTTTTAGATATTTTAATTCTGGGATTTAAAAAGGGAAAACATTCATCAATTTCAAACACACACATTCAACTGTCATCACTCGCTTTTTTCATTCGCGCTATTCTTGAGCAAAATGTGCAATCACTTATTTTCCTTCTGTGACGTATTCTTCAGATGTAGAATGTGTGCATTTGTCTACCTGAATGTTACCTTTATATTTGTGTCCTTGTCCTGTTCCTGTGTAAATCATCAATCATTCTTCTCAAGAAGTTGGCGCCTGGAGTTCTTCCCCAAATTCTGCTTTTACTGTGCGTAAAGAATGCTGGCCTCCATGTTTACAACATGGACATAGTGAATACTGCCAAATTCCTGTACCTGACCCCTTTTTGAACGCTTGCATCTCTCATTCAAGATGTTTTCCTTTTTCTTTCTCTTCGTCATTCTCTTTGAAAGCAATGGATCGGAGGACTGTCAGGTTGTGTCCTCTAGTTGTGTTCCTTCGTGTCTTGTGTCGTGGTGCGCGTGTTCATGTCAGTACTTGTGCCTACTGTGGATCGCATGCTTTAGCCCTTGACTGGACACAAACATTGCTCACAAACTCCTCTTGACCCTTATGTGGACAAATGTCGGGGATCCTTATAACATTATCAAGGGAGCCAAATAACTTATTACAAGTTTATCATATGTGTTACCAGTTCTGTAAAAAACAAAAATAAAATAGGAAATAAAGAACTTTTAAGTACAATGATGTTTTGTGTCCAATATGTGGTGTAGTTGTGTTAAGAGAGAACAACGCATGCCAGTCTTTTACAATTTCTCAAATGAGACCCCCAAAATGGAAGGGGGGTACCAGTATGTGTGCTAATAACTTATTGCATTATACTCGAGATGATCCACAGAGAACGCTACACATAACGACGCTTCCACTGACAGTACCGAGACTGAAATTGTGAGAGGCAGCATGACGGTAGCGGGCATCGAGGCTGCCAGAAGAGGAAAGAAGTAGAGGAAGCTGGAGAAAAGCTTGCCGGTTACCTTATCCGGGAATAAGATTGCAGTTGCAAGCTCTTTTCCTTTTCATGACTTCGAAGGCATGTTTTACACTTTACACAACCAGTTCCTCCTCCATTGGTGTAATCCAGCAACAACGCCAGCTTCCGGTTACTTCCTAATTGGCCGTGTCACGTCACAATGAGAGTCTGTTGCTTGGCCGAACTCAGTGTTGACCGCTCACATAAGGTTTTGTGATTGGAAATGTTGAAGAGGTTTAGCGATTTTTCATCCCTGATCATCGGTGGAGCAACTCACCCCACACCAGGTTAATTGTTCAAGATAATCTTAGAGATATCAATAATCAGACCTTTGCTGACATTGAAAAGAGGTACGGGGAAATGCTCTGATTTGCTCAGATTTTTGGTATGCTTTGGTAGCAGACTGCTAAAATTCAATAACACAAACAGCTCGTTTGTTTCACTACAACTTTTTAATGAGCAGTGTGGATACACCAAAGTGTGCATACTAATCATTTAATACATTTAAATCGAAAATACTGCATTCTCTCTGACAGCGTGATACAATACGCTGATGTAAACTTTTATGACTCATGGTTTAACCTTAGCATTAGTTCATGGGCTGTTTATAGTCAGTCTCTGCTGTGGATGATATATTTATATCCTTAATACAGTAGCCTTAATAAAAGTTTCATTTAAATATTCTCTGTCAACATGCTTTTGATGACCCCAAAAAAGCATCAAAAGAACTGTGAGTAAGGCTTCCAAAATATTTGCAGTTGTTGGCTTTATAGCAAGATTTTGACTGATGCTGACAAAATCGCTAATGAACCGATGACGGATTACATTTCTAACAGATGACAGTATGCCTGTTTTAATTTCGGCACACCGCTGTTGTGGTAACTGCAATGCAAAACGAGCAGACTTTAATCTGAGCCCAGTATAAGATAATGTTGCTAAGAATGGAAGAAGAAATGCTGAGGGCAACTGCGTATTCACAATCAAACTGCGTAGCAACACCTTTGGCATACATAATGACAACTGCAAGTGGTTCTCCAAAGTGTCCCATAGCATTTCATATCAATATGTCAGCTGTGAAGGATATAAATATGCCTTGTCTTGTTGATTTCTGTTTTTCCTCTGACAGAGTAACTGGTGTATGCCTTTGAAATGAAAACCAAGCGATCAAAAGAAATACATAAATAAATAAATACATAAAATATCTTTCAGCCCTCTGCGTAGCAATTTGGCTCTGCTGAGGAAGCAGCAAACTGCCAAATGTGAGACATATTGAAAGTGCTGAAAATAGAATGCAGAAGACTTGAGCCTCGCTCTTACCTCTAACTATAGCCAAATCAATGCCGATACTTTGATTGATGTGTTAGCATTCTTTATCCGTGCAGTGGCATGCCTTTCTTAAATGCATCAGTCTGGACAGGAAAGAGTGGAAAGTATGCCAATTGTTTTGTTTCTTTGGTTTTTTGTTTTTTTCATCTCATTGGGTTTAAAACCATTTTGCCTGTTAACATAAACACCTTGAACAATCAGAAAAGTCCCAATTGAACCTTTAATAGATTTTTTTTGCTATGTATTTATTATTTTTGCTGTATTTGTGTTTCTAAGTGCATGTTTCTGTGTGCCACTGCAAGAAGAGCAATCATTGAATCTCAGCACTCACAAATTGTATTCATTCTGCTATGACCATTCTGGGGTGGTAACTAGCACTAAGGACTCCATTCGTTTTTCTTAAATAAGACAACATACAGTATTCTGTACACAATGTTCTGTATGCAAACTGGGGCAACAATTATGATGTTATATGGTGAGGTCTTCATGCAGTCATTATTATTAAATATCTATCACGCTGCATGCATGGTCCCTAAAAATTATAAGGGGTGGTCGTTATTATACAAGTCACTCCATTAATATTAACACTGCCCAACAGGAGGCACTTGATTGCGGGAATCAAGAGCTCTCATAAAGGGGTTGAACATCTGCAAACAAGGAGCTTTAGGTTGTGACATCCTTTTATTTAGACAGTTTGCTGATGACTCGAATGAGAGCGCCGTTCTCATCCTTTAGCCTCTGGTTGTCCATCTTGAGCTCTGTCAAGACCTGGGAAAGTGGATGCAAGCATTGAAATCACAGTTGCATGGAGAGTGAAAAAAAATCACACCAATTGTGGAATGCAAAGCGGCTGATGGTGAAGTCACACAGCTCAGCGGCACCAAAACAACCTCATTTTCCACAACCAATTTCCAGTGACGTTGAAAGCCAAACGACATGGACATGCTTCATGGTACGCAATCATGCAGTGAGGAGGAACTTGTAAGAAGAAGGTCAAAGAGAGAAACAAGAAGACATCTTAAAAATCTAGGTCGCGTCCCTCACAAGAGGTCAATGACTAAAAATAAACAGCCTTTGTCAAAGTGTTTCCTCTCCACTTTCTGCTCTACGGGAGACGTCACTGAAACCAATGACATAGCAAAGAGACATGTAAATAACATTTCACGCCTTCAATGTCCAGCCAAATTTCACACATGGGCCATTCAATTGGGTGAAACCCCACTGTTAGCAATTGCTGTTGTCAAAAATTTTGCAGTAGCAATGAATGAATGCAATGTATCTGGGGCTATGGGAGGCAGGGCTGAGATAAGTATCAAGATATAAAAAATGGGCGGATGGATGAGCTTTGCACCCATTTTGTCACAATGTGGAACTACTCTCTTATTGCCATTTGTTTTCATTTATGTAACTCATATGATAAATCAAGCCATTTATTATCGGGGAAGTCAGTTGAAAATGTTTCTTGAGGATAACATGCTGTATGCGTCCGGACTAGTCTAAACACGATATTCTGATTAATATTGAGTTTGTGGAATATGAATTAAGCAGAGAAGTCAACCTGTTTCTGTCAATCTTAGGGGGTGGCCATTTTGCCTTGTTTTGTCAATTGTTGAAGTAAACACACGAGAGACAGGTGGCGCGGCGCGATATTTCACGTTCGGTCTGGACTGAGCAGTAGGCACTGTGATGTCATTTTTAGTTGACAACAAGTGTCAGGACAATGCAAACTGCCCCCACCCACCTCCCGTCAGAAATAAAAACGGGCAGATTTTTCTGCTTAATTCATACTGTACAAATGCAGTATTAGAAAGAATACCGTCATTTATTATTGTCACTTGACTTGCCCTTTAAGTGACAGATCCTCACTTTCTCACATTGTTTCTTATGAAGACTCATGATGATAACGTAGTAAACTGATCCAACATCGCCTCGGATTGTCATGCAGACAAACATCTTCACAGTGACGCTACGCTAGAATCCACTTTGTGATTGATCAATAACTTTCGAGAGCATGTGATGCCACATATATGAATGTAAGAAAATATGATCAGGATTCAAAATGCGAATGTTTGCGGTAGTAGTGCGTGTGTTTTGTGTGATCGAGACAGGGGGTTAAACAAAGTCAAAGGGTGCACTGAAAAATGCAGGGCGAGGAGGGAGAATGCAGGGAGAGGGTGGGGGGGGGGGGGGGGAATGGTGAGCGGTGCACAACCTGCCTGAGAGGAACATGGAAGAGGATGAGGGGCCTGTGGAGGCTCCAAAAGGAGTGTTATGTTGCTAAGGAAGGGGATGAGAGGAAGACGGGTGAGTTCAGAGGTCCTCTGTCTCCGGTATGGAGGCCGTTTCAGAGAGGCGGGTGAGGGCGCGCAGCAAAGCTCTGTTCTCGGCCAGGAGGCGCTCGTTGACGCTCCGCAAGGCCTGCGCCTGAGCAAGAGCAGGGAAAGCCTGCACAGAGGAGGAGAAAGATACAGAGGAGCAAGGACAGAGAAAGCGTGCAAGGAAGAGGATGGCTGTGCAATCAAACGCTCAACAAAGAACAGCCCTGAGGGACGCAAAATCAAACCTTCAGATGAAGTTGGGGAGAAAAACTAACAAAAGCAAAGCGACTCATGAAGGGGGCTCAAGAAAGTGGATGGTTGCATGCGAAAGGTGAATGTGAATTTAAAATAATGCGAACAATCATACCCTAATCCTATTCATTTTAACATTCAAATTGGCTCTGATTACAGTTAAAGCCTGACTGTTTGGTATCATTCAAACAGATATAAACAACCCTCTCTTGATTTTACTAATTGAGGCAACCCGCAAAGTTGTTCCAGAGATTTGAGGCAATTCCTGACAGTATTTCACTCCACATACACCCACATAGGGTAATGCGTGTGCACAGTCACATATAACACACACAAGACACGCCTGCAGACACAAATGCGACTGAGAATAAGGAAGAAGGAGCACATCTAACTGCTTTTTCCAACCCTGAATTACATAAGCGATTTAAAGCAATGCCCTTGTTTCATATAAAACAGGTCATGCGTACAATGTTGACTCTCTGAAGAAATCCTCTTGGCTGGGTGGGGGAGAGGGTGGAGGGTTAGAAAAGGTAGTGTGATGAGAATTCTTGATGCTCCGTGTCATTATAATTTGAAGATTAATCCAGACACGTATATGCAGTAAACGTGATCTTGTGCATTCAATTGCATCTCAACTGTAAGGTCCAGAAGTATTGGAGCAGAAGATTTCCAGCCGTCATCTTACTGTGGTAGAGGGGTTTGTGTGCCCCAATGATCCTAGCAGCTAAGTTGTCTGGGGCTTTATGTCCCTGTAGGGTCACCCATGTCAAACAGATCCTAGGTGAGGTTACAAGACAAAGCACGGCTCATCGACTCTGATGATGAACGAAAACATTGGACAGCGTTTCCCCTTGCCCGGACGTGGGTCACCGGGGCTGGAGTTCCCCATCTCTGCTCTACTGGCATGAAATCAGGCCACTGAAGAATATTCCGTTTTTTTTTTGCCTTTGAAAAGTCTTGACTTGCTTTTTTTCCCCAGTTTTTTTTTTGCCTTTGAAAAGTCTTGACTTGCTTTTCTCTAACTTGCAGTAACCACTAAAGTGGATGCTAGCAGGATTCTTTCCCTGAAAAAAAAAACAAACTTCACAACATCAAGAGAAGCTTGCAATACTATGGAGACGGGTAAAGTGTCATTGTCAAAATTTCCAGTCACGATGTGCCTTCATAAATATAATTACTGTACAAAGGCTTTACACCAAGGTGCTAAGACATCGGATGTTCCGGAATCAGTTTCTTTGGACAAGGTGAAACCAAGGTGAAGTTGTACTAGAGTCCTCATTCTGGCAGAGAAATGTATGGAAAACGAATAAATATCATGTGTCAAGTCTGTCCTTAGGCATGAGCATAGATGGCAGCTCTGCGATTGAATCCCTGCTGCTCATTGAGGCCTGTGAATATTCTCATTCATGCAGGTTATTTCAATCTCAGGGCACTGAATCACAACTGATGTTTTGATTCAAGCGAGTTTCATCAGTTCATGCGCATAGGCTACATAGGACGGCACTAGACAATGTGTGGTTCAAGGCTTTCCTCCGTTCCCATTCAGCTGAATGCTAGAAAGTCATAGGATGACATGTCACAGTGCCGATGACTAATGACAGTAAACAGGGCTCAACAGGAAATGCTACTCAAGACTTTATAGGCAAATATTTTGACTATTCTTCAGTGGCGCAATTCAAGGTCAAAACAGCATACTTTCTCACTCCCGGAAGAAAAAGTGGAGCAAGAGCCAGAAACGAGCTACCACTGGAAGTGGCTTTTGTGAAGGCCTTGACCTATAGCATATTAAGGGAGGACACTCATGAAGAACCTCACGAAATTTGTGTCCATGGGCTCAAATTCAGGCATCACCATCCAAGTATTGAAAATGCCGATTATATCATAAAATGGCAGTAATTGCTACAGTAAACGATACATGTCGTGTTTTTATTCAACCCCTTCAAATAAAACTCAAAGACTACACTTTAATCACAATGAATAACTTACTTGTACATCTGGTGCGGCCTAAAAGAAAGATCGTTAAAACACATCCATTATCCGAATACTTAGCCAATTGTAAATTTCAAAATGAGGTGTAAGCTTTTTGATGCTCATAATGTAAAGAACTGACTGGGAGGTCAAAGGCTGTGCAAGAGTGGTGAGGTTTGTGACCAAAATATCGAGCTGGATTGTGTCAACACGTGAAAACATGCCCCAGTCTTTGACAGAAGACATTCACATCAGGTGACAGGCAGGTGTCGCTCTGCAACTCCGGTGTCATGGAGACCACTCACCATTCCCACCCCCTCCCCTCAGGGCTGGTACCCACAGCGGAACCGCGCTGGGGGGTCCTGCTGAGGGAACCATGACAACATGGATGTCAAACATCTGATGCTAGCCTGCTCCTGATCTTCATCTGTCATTATTAGGTCTCCGTTCATCATTTGGTTTGAAAAATCACCACCGGGATTTTGCAATACAGTAAAATCGAAATTGGGATGAGACTGCTAACACTGATTTAGTGCATGTTGAATCCCTGTTGTAGCAAAGGGCGTAAAAAATGTCGGTAAAAAGACTCAGTGCTTGAAAGGCCTGCCGATTGTGTTTGAGTTTGACCTTTGCATTGTACAGTATAAGGATGCATCAGCGTTTTCTTGCAACATTTGTATCACCCTGCAGAAACTGCACAGGCGTACAATCTGCTGCACTGTGTCTCTTTGTAAAATGGAACACTGTGTGCGGAGCAGGAATGTCTCACAAAAGCAGGTCTTTTGACATTAGACCGGGTTTGGTATTCAACTGGAACTAGGTCACAACATTCAACCCCATCAGTGGGATAAGCAGAGCTGGGGAGGCGCAGCGCAGACTCCTCAGCCTGACAGGAAGTGACCCAGCAGAGCAATGTGGCTAATGAGCCCGAAGCTTTAACCTTCTCTCTCCTTGACTCCAATCCCACCTGGCTAACTGTGTGCATCTCATTTGTGTGTCTAACACTTCAAGCGTCTGATTTAGCTGGCACAAGATAGACACAAGCTCTTCCCGTGCTTGTGTGAGCGTTCACCCACATTTCAAAATCATGCATGTTAGGTTAGTTCAAAAATTTTCCATAGGTGTGAATGTGAGAATGACTAATTGTTTGCCTATCGATGCCCTGCAATTGAGTGGCGACCGGTCCAAGGTATCGCCCACCTCTCTCTCGCTCAAGTCAAGATAAGCTCCAGCTCATACGAGACCCTTATGAGGAACAGGTGCTTGAGAAAATGAAAGGATGGAAAGTGTACACCTCTCAGGTCTCATTATATCAGTTGACCAGACACCACAAGCTGTGATGCAAAATACGCTCCAGATTTGCGTAGACTGACTGACCTTCATTTCGTCTTCCATGCCTGAGACTCTTTTTTCAAGGGCCCGTTTTTCCTGCAAATAAAAAATCAATAAGGTTTCATCTGGATTGTATAAAGTAACAACCAACCTCCCTCAGAGCAGCAAACAAGCGTGGTGAAATAAGATATATGATTGCGCCGCAAAGATTTACCTTTTTCTCAGATTCAAGCAGAGTCGATTTCTCTGCTATCCTGTCTTGCCTCTACAAATAAGAGGGTTACTTCATTATGACATAATGAATAAGAATGTTGAAAGAAATGCATATGCCATACATGAAATTCTGTGTGTGCCGCAATGGTTAACACAGTGGTGTCAAAAATATGGACTCGGGGCCGTTTGCGTTCCGCCATCCAATTTTTATTGGCCTGTGGCATTTACTAAGATTAATAATTGACTCGTGTTGTTTGCCCGCATTGACCCACTTCTTTTCTACACTGGGTAAGAGAAAAACGACATTCTCATCCCTCATTTCTTTTTTCCGGAAAACATTGTGTTCTTTTCGCACTGGGTTATTTTTTAAAAGTGTGTGTGTGTGTGTGTGTGTGTGTGTGTGTGTGTGTGTGTGTGTGTGTGTGTGTGTATACGTGTGTTTAAAGCGTGGGTATTGAAGCCTTTCATTGTCATGACTTATACTATTCCTGCTACTACTATTATGCGAACTAATAATAATTAGGGATAAGTATTACATTATTGAGTACTCATGATACCGATACCAAATAATAGTAGCATTAGTACCTTGAAAACATAACACAATGGCAGATAATTTGAAAGAAATGCAATGGCAAGAACTGAATGGCATTTTCTATTTGTTCATAAAATACGTATTTTGTACAGAACACACAAAATCTGCATTTAAAATAAATAAATAAATAAATAAATAAAATATCCAGTGGCCAGAAAAGGTCCCAATCAAAATATGTGGCTATTTAACTTTTTTCAAGGAATACAGTGGTTTAATTATTTGTTGAATTGAAAACAACAGTCCTGCAAATAACATTAAGGAATACCCTGTACCGACATTTCACCAGAGTTTTGGCAATACAAGGTTAGCACCATTTAATTCAACTGTGGTGTCTTAGTCTGAACACTAAGTGGCACCCATGTAATGACGTACGAAGAAGAAATCTAATGTCACGTCTTAGCACTCTCCTGAGCTGGAAATAACTTCAATTTCCTTGGTGTGAAAATAAGTGCGACTGGTTGTTCGTCCTGGTTGGCAACCAGTTCAGACCCAGCGCGCCCCCGACCCTCATGATGAGAAACGGATCAGATGAGAAACGGATCAGATAATAGATGGATGGATGGAAGGATGGGGGTGGGGGGTATATTAGCCTTATTGTTGAGAATTACAATATGGACCAAACCCAAATATCCGGTACCGCTCCGATTTCAAAATATTTCAACTGCTTCAAACAACAACGCCTATGCAGGAAAAGTGGTCAAGATTGCATGACTGTCCGTGTCTTATGTTATGTGTTGTTATAAATTTCGTTATTTTACGTTAACTGTTCTGTCAAGCGCTTTGTTACAGCTGCAGCTATTGTGAAAGCGCTATGTAAACAAGATGTATTTGCAGCAATCGATGGCTTCCACCTGCACTGATTGGAAGCTAGATGCTACTGCTATTGTGACAAAATGCTTGTTACAAAAGCACACGCCTGTCAACTGCCGTTATATGAGAACACAGTAGCAGCCCAGATCAGCAACTCTGGTGGCAGGCAACGTTCCCTAAAAGGCAATGCCTGTGAGTTGAAAATGAATCCTAACTTTCCCACATCTCGGCGGCACGAGCGTCATAGCTATCGAATGTTCAGATCCACGATAATAACAGTAAAACTACACGGTTCTCAGAATGCATTGCATGGTGCAATACATTTAATAAATTAAGTTATTAATTCATTTTCATAAATGTATGTTTCTCTCACTTTTGTTTGATTATATGTTACACTGTTTTCATTTTGGGAAACACGCCATGACTCTAGGTTGTGTGTGAAACAGTGACATCGAGATCAATTCCTACAAGGCATTAATAGAAATCTTCAGCATCGGACATCTAGTCTTTGGTTCCTGGTTGTAAAACGGCCACAAGAGGGCAGCTGATATTGACCGCTGTTCCTGAATACGCATATCTTGAAATAAGGCGAGGTATGGGCCCCATTCCGATACCTGCAAATAATAATGATAACTATTATTATTAATCAATTGGTTTTATGTTTTATATAGAGCATATGTAGTTTTTTTTAGATGAGCAAAAATGGACAGATCGAAAAAAGATGAATTCTGTTACAGCATCAAACCTTTCTACTCCCTGTCAAGGTCATTTTAAGAGATTGCTCTGGTCTTTTTTTTTTTTTTTTTTGGTAGATAGTCTCCTGCTGATCAATACATCGCCGGATGTTCTATTCTAGTGGGTTACTGCGCTGCGGACCACCTCAAAATCCTGAAGAAATTGCTTTATCGCCTAGCTATTTTTAAAAAAGATATATGAAAAAAAGATATGAAAAGAATTCATAATTGTCAAGCAAATCTTACGTACATTGACAGATTGGCTTTTGTGTGTTCAATAAACATGAAGAATGTCAAAGTAGTCCTTTCCTCCTTACATTTTTCTGCATGTGGCCAAGTGATTAAGTCACTTACTTGAGCCACTTTTTCCAGCTGGGAACGAATGTTGACGAGTTCTTGTTTGCTGTCCTGCAACCTGGACTTGAGACGCTCATTCTCCTGTAGTGCCTCGGCGTACATCTAATAAAGAGAAAACATCATAAAACATGATATGAAATATAATTGCAAATGTTATTTAAAATCAAATGTGTCTTTTTTCACATTGTAGGAAAATCTCGCATCAAGTACGACGACTTTGAGAGCCTAGAAAATGACTTTATACTGAGTTTCACCTTCTTATAGTCTTTGCTTGTGGTGTCTTGCTCCGGTTTGTTCAGAGAAGCTAGCCTGTTCTCCCTGCGAGTGTAGGAGCTGGTTCTGCTCAGTCTGTCAGGGACGTTCTCCCCACTAGAGTCGAATCTGCACACAGGACGCAGTATGCAGCAGATCACATTCACGCAATGCTACTTCAGGAGCTGGTTCTTGATAGTGCAAGCGCCTTTCGGCGCTAATTAAAAATGGAAGCCACATTCCGGAACATGAGGTAGCGGAACTGAATCATTTCAGTCATTCATTTAGCAGAATTACAGTTCTAATTACAGACTGCCATGGAAAGAGCTATAATTAAACATCTATTAAAGTAGCGCTGTGTGTATTATGAAACATTAAAGACGGTAATCAAATTTAAAAAAGTGTTACTGCCATGCATTTCTGGGGCTCAAATCTTGAAGTATTTTGGTGCGTGTGTTATGAAGGGTTAACCTTTATAGTTGTGTAACTGGAAGAAAAAAAAAGCGAAATATTTACCTTGACAGCCTGTCATGCTGAAAAACAAAGAAGAAACCAGTCAATCGGGGATCATTAAGAACACTGGAAACAATTAAGTGTGGTTAGAGCCAGATGTTCAGTATCTCTTCGTCTACGTTAGATAAAGAGGAAATCATTTCCGTTCTGTGAATAACCGCCAGGTAAATAATAAAAGAGTGCACAGCATCCTTGAGGGAATTCAAGACCGTTACAGTTCACAAAGGTCAAGCTTTGCTGGTGTAGCCAGTTAATCTCTCACTTTCTTCCAGTTGCATAAAGATAACATCATATGAGAGATTGTAGAAATATCCTGGAAAAGCTTTTGCCGCTGCCGCAAACATTGCTGCCTTGTGTGTTTCCATGAATTAATTTCCTTTTCACTAAAGAATTTAAGGGCTGCCTGTAGTGACGGCTGTTTTGTGAAAGTTCACATATTCAAAAATGTGTCAAGAGTAGTGATGTTATGACTCTCTGCCGCCCAACCAAAAAGCTTGGAAACCTGCCTGACATTTACTAGCTGCAGTGAAGCCCCGCTGTTCCCAGTTTCTGCTACAGACGTATACATTTCACACTACTGATTCAAACACCTCTGTTCACAATGAAAGCTAATGAGCAGACGTAGGTGGTGTTGAAAGCATCGTTCGTCTCTGCAGGGGCGAAATCAATGTTCCCTGCCAAAGAGCCAACATTTATTCCCGTTTGAGGATACAGTGTGTGATGTCGCGCGTCAAAGGAGCGATTCGTTAGCATGTGTTTACACGACTGAGGCGGCGCTGCGTGTCCTTATGTGGTCATGTGTTTGAAGAGAGCTGACCAAACACAGGCCTCCACCCCTCCACACGCACTAAATCTTTTCATGTCCGACAAAAGAAAGCCATTGACGTGATTCAGAGCATGCTTCCAAAATATTTTTCAAGTGTACATGCCTTTTATTCATTCAGAAGAACGTGTCGCAATATCCAATATGGTCAATTTGCTCTTAAAGCCACAAAGTTCCCTTGACACTCATCAATGATAAATATAAATTGTCACTTAATCAATGTGAGCGAGAACGAGTGAACGTTTGTTTAGATGTGCTCTGGTGAGTAACCCGCCTTTCGCCTGCAGTCAGCTGGGAGAGGCTCCAGGTCACCCGCGAGTGCGCGACCCTAGTGAGGAGACGCATGAGAGAAAATGGATGGATGGATGGACAGATTCACAGTACAACACCAGAAAGTGTTACGTGTGTAGCATATCAACAACGCAGACAGTTGCACAATCTGTTAGATGAGGAAAAAAGAATGATCAGCTTTGACGGACACTGTCCTGAATGTTTATGGTGCAATTTTTTCTGTGCATCTGTGCTCTCAGCTGATTCTTTGTCTCACTCAACCCAAACATTTGCCATCACCTTGGTAACAACACACACACACACACGCACGCGCACGCACGCGCACACACACACACACACACACACACACACACACACACACACACACACACACACACACACAATCTCACAAGTTGCCCAATAGTATGAAAGCACTGTCAACAGCACATGACATCATCATTGGGGGGACTCTTCACTTTTTTCCCTCTACTTTTTGTCACAACGTTCAACTTTCTTAAATTGTTCAAGTCGACAGTCGGAAAATGTTTGTCGGGTGCACACAAACACTCTGACCTCCCCCCATGCCCCCTACAGATATAAACCCATCTTTCTTGTGGAAATGGACAAAATTATGCTAATTATCATGACTTTTGTAGACTTCATTCTTCTCATATTGCACCAATCAGTGCATCGCATTCTCTCTCCCATGCATCATTGAAATTGAATGGCCAAGTTTCACAAGGCTTGAGGGACTTGGGACGTTATCTACAATAACAGCCTGTAGTAGCGCAATGACTTTGCAGGAGCAAAGAAACGTGATGGTGTTTGATGCCTCTGTCTCTTTAACAGTCGCACCGATGCACCGACATAAACACAGTAGCCCACTGAGAATAGTCCACTTAGAGAAGGGAACATAACAGGAAATTGCAGAAGGAAAGTTTTCTTTTCCACAGACTGAATTCAGCAAAGGTGACTCTTTAACAAACTAATTTGATGCTTCATGAGGGGGCCATTCCATAGCAGTGTGAGTAAATCAGAAAATATATGTATTGTGACAGCACAATTATTAAAAAAAAAATAAAAAGCAATGCTTTTAGTACTCCAACTAGGATTCCACTCAAGTCACAAATCCTTTGCAGAGAATTTGAGCTTTCAGGTGTTATGTAGATTTAGCCTGAATCATTCCTCAAAAGCCTCATCAAGTGCATTAATCTATCATTAATGCTTTGAGGATAACAAACGCTTTGTTTGGCTTTACCAAGCAGATGGACGATTGAATTTGAAGAGACAAAGTTAATTTGCTGACACCTCATGCAGGTTGAAGAAGGAAGTGGTGAGAGCACGGTTGAGGACAGAAAAGTATTTTATCAGGAGGGAAGGTTCTTACTCGGAAGCTTTTGTCTGTAGGGGATGGAGACGATGGCGGTGAGTCGGTGACTGACCTCCTGGTACGAGTCAGGTCTTTGCTGCGGGGGAAGTAGGATGACATCTCCCTTCTACAGCTTCTCTCGCCTCCAGATAACAGATGCAAAGATTCCCTCAAGCACCAGAGCCCATGCTGGCACTCCAGGGAATCCGGAGTGAAAACAGGTGGGAGAGCTATGGCCCAGTTTGGCGAGACTTTCTGCTCCTTTTCTTCTTCCAAGCCTCAGTAGTCACTTAATAGTTAGATAAAAATGCAAATTTTCGGCAAGGCCTTGACACAATCTCTCGGTTTGTTAAACAGATGCCCGTGACATGTAAAAAGGCCCAAAAGAAAGCAGCAAAAAGTTCCTGTGCTGTCTCTTCCTGTGGGTCCCTCAAAGTTATACTCTCTCTTCATCAGCAGCTCCCTCTCTCTCCCGCCTCCTTCTTCTTTCGCGGCCCACTCGCCCTCCCAGCCCTTCTCTCCCCTTTGCTTCTCCCCCCAAGCTTTCTGTGGCATCTTGCCAGAGGCTCTGAACAGGGACACACCACTGAGGCCTAAAATTGGCCATTTAAGCGCGGGACTGCACAGAGGAGGCGGAGCACTGGCGAAGAGTCTGGCGTTTTCATCTAGGAACGCCAAGGAGGTCACCTAAGGAGATGTCAGCAGCCGCCAGGTGACAAGCCTCTTGAGTCTACCTGGCAGGTGATGCAAAGCAAGTATCGAGTCAAGCTTGACTTTTTATTTGTCGCACCCTGTGCATTCAATTTTGCAAGAAAATGTTTTTGCAAGCATGGAACTCTATTATGAAGTCGATATAGGAACTAAGTTTTGCAAAATATGGGCACTTTTTCAAACTGTGTTTCATTTACTGTAACTGTTAGAGGCCAGATGGTTTGATGAGCTCTGTCCTCTCACATTGCAACAATATTTCTCTTGCTGCTTGATTTATACAAAGCAATGTAACAGTTTACTTCAAAGAATATTTTTCCTTTTAAGTAGACAAACAACTCAAAGACAAACCTTACGCAATATCTACATTTGCGAATAAGATCCAGTGAAAGGAGTGGGGGGGAAATGAACGAATGAGCTTCACAATGGTATAGCTCCGTGTTGACTGACACTTGCGGCTGTATCAATTCTTTAGAAATTGAGAAATATGTTGATGATTGTGGTTGTTCTTTACTGTGGTGAAGAACTTTACTGAATCACACAGAGAGGTATTTGGTTACCTTACTTACCTTCAGGAGACAAAGTACAACCACTTTATTTTCATTATCATTATTAAAGAAATTGACAGTGCCAATCCAAATGAACCTTTGCTGGCTTTGTAAAAGCATCATGTTTTGTAAAACTTTTAGGTATCATTATCATACATGCAGGAGCACAGTATATACTGGCATCATATAAAGTACTGTATACACGGTATAGTACGTGGCCATAAGCAATGTCATATCATAATTTGCAGTTTCAAAGAAAAAAATGTTCCACCAAAATGACAATGGAGGAAAAGCCCTAAATGTCAAAGTATTCCATTTAACACACACTGACACACACATGCTCACGGAGTTTGCAATAGCTTGGAATATTGCTGTCTTCCATATATAGTGAGGTTTGCATGGTGATGTCCTTTTTCACTGTTCAGTGCAAACAGATTAGCTGGAAAGATAAGCAGGCTTGGAGAGTAACGGAATACATGTACCGGCATTACGTATTCAGGATATAAAAGCTAATATAACTGTAATCCATTACCGTTACAGAAAAAAAAATGTAATCAGATGAAAGGTACGTTTATTAAAAATGTAGATTATTTTGGAGCATTATATTTTTAAATGTGGGGGAGGGAGACACCACAGTGAGTCCTCACCCGCTCTGAAACAAGTTGGCCAAACAAGTTTTCCCAGGGTTAAGTGGATAACTAGTCAGAAAATAGCTTAATGGACCAGCATTGCTCCTCCCACCTAAGGTTTTTGTTGGCCAACAATTAAATGAGACAGGTCACGAGATACGTCTTAAAGCACTTATGTTCAAAGGTGACCAGAATGTTGACTGCTTTGTATCATATTCACTGGAGGACAAAAACACAAAAACAGAATTACTTACGGCACTGATGTCAAACTCAAGGCCCGGGGGCCGCATCTGACCCCGCCACATAATGTTCTATGGAACGAAAGCAAATCAGGTGCATCAGTTTCTATGATTGTTGCTAAAATATGTGCCGAAATTTCAAATTCTCACATGTAATAAATAATAACATTGTGATATTGCCAGCATTTATTTTTCTTTTGGTACGACAGGGTTTCTCCCAGTGCTTGATAAACCTGGTGGACCATCATGCTTTTCTTGCTACGTGTGCCCAATTTGGGCGAAAAAGAATCATAGGTTGTCTATGTACAAGCAGCCGACGTCTCCTTCCATTATCCTCACGAGGCTCCTCGAACATTAGGCGGGAGAACACCCCGAACTGGTTCCCAGTTAATCGCAGGGCACACATACACAAGCAACAACTATTCACACTCACAAGCACACCGAGGGGCAACATAGAATGTCCATTTAACCTACCATGCATGCGTTTTGGAATGTGGAAGGAAACCAGAATACCCGGAGAAAACCCACACAGGCAAGGGGAGGACAAACTCCACACTGGAGGGCCGGAACCCAGATTCGAACACTGACCTCTGTACTGTGACGCAGATTTGCTAACCGGCCGATTGCCCCTAAAGTTTCCCGGACTCTTGGAGGCTTATTTATTATAAACATTGAAGCATGGGGTTAAAATTTTCACGAGTGCACACATCACTGGCTGGGTTCCATTCACTGAGATCCACAGCACACAGGTCACCAGGGCCGACGATCAAAGTCCCGCCTCGGGTAAAGTGACTTTGTTTGTATTTTAGTACTTGAAAATGTCTTCATTTGAAAATGACCTTTAACACTAAAATGTTCCACCAAAAATGTTAAAAATATGAGTGCGAGCATGGATGTGTGCAATGTCTATTGTTGAAAGGTCACTGCTAAGTGACTCTTTGCTTGTCGTGTCCTCATACAAACAGACGTAAAACAAGATGCTCCTTATTGCCTTCTTCTTTGTACCTTGTTTCCCCTGGCATGATGATCAATGTTACATGGTCTCTGGTGATGGCAAAAAAGAAAGAACTAAAAAAGACATGTCTTCTGCCTGTCAGATGGTTCACTGATTAGGCCACGTCTGAACAGTGCCAAATCGGATTTGTGCACTTGCTAAAAACTGACAGTCAGCCCTTAAAATCAGATTTGAGGAGGAATCTGATCTGAATCAGATATGCCAATGGTCTGAACGTGGCCAAAAACTGTCTGAGAAAACTTTTGCAATCTTATATTGTACAAACCCGGACAAAAACATTTACAGTGTTGTCGAGCATGCACAAGACTTCGCCAAAGAGATATCAGGCTAGCCCTGCCCCCGCAACTTGTCAGTAAATGTTGACTATTTCCCGTCACAGATCACCCACAACTGTATTACTTATAAGCGTTATATTAGCAATATCATCAGATAAACTTGTCACTGGGAAAATTATAAAATAATAAGAACTTCTTTTTTTTCATGGTTGACTTCACGTATCATAGTCATTGTATCGAAATTACCAACTTGTGTCTGCGTGCGCGTATGGAATGCAATAGCGCACAGAGGCAATAAAATCTGGAGCGCACGTGACTATTTTCAGTACGCATGTGCACTTGTGTACCACTTATGTGTACTCTTGATCATAATACAAGCAGGATCAAGTCTCAGTAAGAAGAAATCTATCTAGCTATCTGTCTATCTATCCATGCATGCAGCACAAGCGGTTAGCATGGCTGCCTCACAGTTTTCGTTCTTTATATTTGAATTGCAGGTGCTTGGGCTTCCTCCTGAATTCCAAAAGCATGCATATTAAACAACCATAGGACAGAAAAGACCAGACAAATATGAAAAACATGTCGTATTTTGTTGTTGTTGTGGCCTTTTTTCACAAAGTTGGTATTTGAGTAATCCAACGGTAATTAAAAGTAATCAAGTTTCATTACTTTAATATTATGGTACTTGGATTATGTTACATATATTTTAAACCGGTCACTGGTAAGTGCATCAGAATACATTTTTAAAGTAACCTCAGCAATCCTGAAGATAAGAAATGACAATTCCAAATGGTGGAGGAAACAAGAAAGATTGTTTAGTTCTCCACAAGCGTCATTGTATAAAGTCTGGACGTATATAACTCGTGTCTGATTTTCCAAATCTGAATAACAGCAATGGCATTCGTTGTGTATACAGAGAGTGAAGTACACTGGCAGTGATGCAGACTATTAAAGGTTGCAGCTGGAGTGTCCAACGCTTCCCCCACCCACAACATGTACACATACTCACATCCCTTTTCTACATAGTTTGAACTTTCCTTCTCATGTTTTCCAACTTGTGGAGCCACAGATATTTTAGTAGCAATGGAGTCATATGCATGTTGTACACGATCTCATAAGATCATCTCCAGCCTGATACAAGAGCTGTCCAAACATTCTGACAGCTCCAAGGTGGCGAGATCACAGAACTGAATCCATCTGCACCTGTCCTCCTCTTTGTTACTGAAAAGCTATGTGGAAAATCTGTTGGGGTCATAGCGGGGTCAAACAGCGCTAGGCACTAGTGACAGGCAGCCGGCCATGCTACTGTTAAAGCCTGGCAGTGATTATCACAGCCAGATATAGTTCTGTTAGTAATGCTGAGAGACTCTCACGTTACCACCGCCTGATTTCTGTTTCTGATGCCACCACGGAGAGCAGCTGATCCTCTGACCCGAGGTCAGCGTCCGGGGGAAAAAAAAAAAGGCTTTTCTGACATACTGCAAAGGGCATTCGTAATATGCTGTTTGACACAGTGCTGCTCGATCCATCCCTCGCTGCAGCAAGTGGGACGAATCAGCACCAGCGTTCAGAGTCAAAGTTCACCCACATAACACGGTATCAGCTAAGAAGGTAAAAGCAGGGAGGCAATCCCTCCAATTCGAAAGCTCGGACTACACAGAGAGTGCCTGCGTTTTGCCCAATATGGTATGGAATGCTGAGACACTTTAGCCATGTGATGTGAAGAAGCAAAGCCACTTAGAGGGAGGGGAGCTGGGTCCTCTGTGAGATGGTAAGCGGCACAACTACGGTTGCAGCGCATCTTCAAATGTTGCGTCAGCGACGAGAGCTTAGTCGCTTTGAAGCGCAGATGCCTTTCGGCTGACGGTTCCTCCGTCAGCCGAACCGTAATAAAAACGGACTCATCCTGAGGTGCGAGAACGTACTTGGTGGAATCATATTGTTTGTGGCTGACAAGTAGATCTCGGTTTTACATCTTCCATTACAACTTAAGTACGCCATAAAACAATTTTCTTCCCAGGGGCCTCCAAACTATCAGCTGGCATGGCGATGAATCTGTGTTCTTTTCAGTTGGGCTTGGTGAGCAAAAATCCTGTGACACTCTCTAGTGGTAGTAGTGAGAACGACATGAAAACCCTTTATACTTTCTTGCATCATTTATGCACTGCATTTGGGGGGGAGAGGGGGGACAGATCAATTCAGTTTTTTTGTTTTTTTCTGGGGGGGGAGATTTGGGGGCGCTTTTGGGGTCATCATCATTGCTTACGTTAACCTTTCTTTGTTCTATATGATGTTGTGATACAGTGCTCATCAGCCTGCATGGTGTTCTGCACTCGATTGTTACCATGCTGGTTGTCATTGGAATTGGATTTACTTTACATTAGACCAATTTTCTACAAGAGCCAAAACAGGCTAGTTTTAAACGCAACATTTTATTTTATTTTGTTTTATTTATTTATTTTTGCGGAATGTCGTCAAACCTTTAGCAGGATGTTTTTTTTTTAAATTGACAGCTACAAGTGTGAGTTTTATTGGAGCAAATGTCAGCCATTCAGGTCCCTTGTCAAAGCTCTTCTCAGGGATTATTGCTCTTTGTCGAAGCAGGCACCCGATTTATTTTGGGTAATATATGAATTGGAATGATTTATACTATCGGGTCAATGCAGATAACGGTGCGTGACTTTTTCAATTGATCATCATACCTCTGCGACGGTGCCATCTGATTTATCACATCCATCCAATCCATGTCTTCTGCTCCTCTGTTTTGCAAATGTAAGCTGTTCGTCTTCAAGAGGGTTCTGATTTTCATCTCTCCACCTTCTTCCACCCACTGCACATGCAAAGTTTCATTGAGTGTAAATGAACTTTGCCTCTTTTTTGATGATCAAATCGAATAAGAAACGTGACCTCTGATTGAGTTTATCCCTGTAATGGTGGACGCAGGCCAGCAGCAGGCTTCTGTGAACTCAGCAACACTTTGTAACTTGGGTCCGATGGTCCCCCGCTGTACATTCACAAAACACAAATTTTGAATGGCAACACACAAATCACTGAAAACAAATCTTGAATTTAGAAATGAATCTCATGAAGCTGACAGCATGAAATGTTTTATATTCTCACCAACCTCATCTCTGTTGCTCCATCTTGGACTGATTTTGGTTTCTTTTGCTCCATCCTCCACTTTCCCATCAAGTAGAAACTCCTCTGAGCTTTTGTTGATGTTCTGAGCCGCTTTCAAGTCCGTCAGAGTTACACCCTGCGTAGCATTCACTTAACTTCATGAATCAAACACACCAGTGATCTTTTGGCTTGTGTACTTCATCATGAAATTACCTGCGTTGACCTGCGGGTCTGTCTGGCATGACGAGATTTGGCCCTCCTCTGAGACTCTGCTTCTTCATCCCTGATGGGTGACAGATAAAGTCTGGAACTAGAACAGCCAGCCAGACAGATAAGTTTTTTTTAAAACAACATGCAATTTACCTGTTATGCAACAAATAGTACATAATTATACTAGCCTGCAATTTTGACAGTTAACCACCAGTACTGTTGATGTACTTACACTTAATGAACTTAATGAATTTTACAAATCTACAAAATAGAAAATGAATCACGCTATCATTAAATAAGAAAATCTTTGACAAACTACAACAAAAAGGTAGATATCTACAGGCTTTAATCAGAAAGTAGACACAATATGACCTGAAAAGGTACTTGTTTTTATAACCACTGAAAGTCCAAATTCAAAGCACCAGTTAACTATAGACGTAAAGACAAAATGGCTATGTTTTAAAATCATATCCTGGAATCAACATTGGCTCATAATTTGTTCTGAACAAGAACGGTAACGATAATGTCATTGAAAACAGGAGCAGTAACTTTGTACAGTAACTTATAGAAAAAAAAAAGCAACATGATGACCATCAAAAGAAAAAAAAATGAGCAAAACAAAACTACAAATAAACAACACAGGTGATATCTTCCCTGCTTGCAAATGTTCAAAAAAGAAGTAGGAGGAAGTATAAACTTATCGAGTCCTACCCCTGTATATTAATTTCATTATTAGTATTTCACGGTCTTTATGAATATTCATCTTTATCTTTACATTATATATATATATATATAGAGAGAGAGAGAGAGAGAGAGAGAGAGAGAGAGAGAGAGAGAGAGAGAGAGAGAGAGAGAGAGAGAGAGAGAGAGAGAAATCGTGCGGTTTTGCACCACGACCAGATTTAAATGCCAAGAAATAAAAGCTGAAATACAAACTGCATCTGTTGATGCCAAACACAAATGTTTTCAGTCTACAGGACAAATGAAGGGGTTTACCTCATTGTTTGAGCGCCTTTCGGAATGTGCATATTTTACTGGGATTATGAAGGAAATAGGAATATTAATGAGGCCTTCAAAACATTATTTGTGGCGCCACAGAGAAAAACAGCTGAGTAAACAGCGTTATGGGAGAGTATTAGATTCCTCCCAGTGCTCCTGTGCTTGCTTTTAAGTGCCTGTCGAATCCTGAGAATCGACAAGCTGGTCAGCAGCGCACTCTGCTGAATCAACAGTGCAAAGCTTGAGTAGAGATGGACTGACGTGACTGTGCACATTCAGAGGAAGGCTAAAGCCTGAAATGCTGGAGAGCGCGCTGCTTCAGAGTCATCAGCTGTTCAGATGCAGTCAAGAGTTCACATTAAATTCTATCATTGGAATTAAAACAAAAAGGTGTCACATTACACTAAAAACCTCACTTGTGCTACAATTCCAAATGTAGTCGACATCTGTAACTGCTGGGACTAAAGGGTTCGTGCTGAAATGATTTTTAGGAAAAAAGATGATCATCAGTGCGACGGGGCAATATCATCTCACTTCCTGTCGTAAAAGCTTCACATGGCATCAGTTTTACAGGCCTTCAGCACCTGCACAAGCATACAAAGTGGAACTAGAGCGATGTAAAAATGACATTAAAAATAAAACCAAACAAACAAACAAACAAACAAAAGAAACTAAAACACTGCATATTTAAAAATAAGAATCAAGGGAAGAAATAATTTCCCCCATGAAACGTACCTGGGCACCAAAGCGTGCATATTTCGAGCAGGAGGTCAGAAATTGAAGCAATGCAGCAGCGTTGAAAGGGAGAGGCTGAGAGAGAGAGAGTGAGAGAGAGAGAAAGAGAGAGAGAGAGAGAGAGAGAGAGAGATGGACGGAAACAGGATAGAGTGCATGGAGGGGAAAGGAAGGGCATGGGGAGGGGTAACATGCAGAAATCAATCACCTCTGACTTTTTGGTTGCCAAAGCCTGAGTCAGATACACACCGGGGAAGATAGCATATTCCAACAAGTAACCCAAATTGTATTTGACCAAATAAATGGTTGTATTTCTACAACCGGCTCACGGCTCACATATGATATAAATGGATTAGTGTTAATTTACTCTGACATTTTAATGCTGTCATTCGCTGAATATTATCTGCATGCCAGCTCAAGTAAGTCGTTTTTGTACTGCATGATTGCGCTACTGCTCTACAGCTCCTTAGTGTAATTTGAACTAATAAGCAGTAAAGATAGATTTGCAATTAGATTAACGGAATTTAGATACACTTTTTCAACATGACATTGAAATCTGTGCGTCTCCGCAGCGCTCTTTCACCATGTTGATTCTTCACTCTTTCAAATGATGACGATTTTGGTGTCCGCATGTTCTAAAGCTAATGTATTTTATAATCAAATGTGGGCATTATCGTGGTCTAGTGGTGGGCACATGTGCTTCACAGTTGAGAGGTGTGGAGTTTGTGCTAGGCCTCTTCAAATTCAGGGCCAAATTCGCGAAAGGATTTCTTGGCTTTTGCATGGCGCTAAGCGGTCGATCGCGTCTCATTCCCAAGCTCGTGCAGATGGTGGAATGCTTCAAAACTGTGATGCCAAGCACTGGTTAGGGAAGGGTGGTCAAAGCGATTTTACTATAACTTCTGTCCGCGTATAAAAACATGCATGCTCATTGATGTTTCTGAATTATGTGCCCTGTGATTGGCCGGTGACCAGTCTTGGATCGATCCTACCTCTCGCCTAATCAGCTGGAATAGAACATGATCAACAAAACCAAGTAGTGAATTTGACACAAAGACGCACTTTACAAAACTGAACAATTTTGTTTATTCTAAACACATTTTGAACTTGAAGTTCATCTCAGTTCAGTTGAATTCTGGGTAAAATGTACAGCAGTGCTTTAAAGGAATACTGTTACAGTAGTAAAGTAAACCAGTCTATGAAACGTGAATTCACAATATTGTTTCAGAATGTTTAGCAAAAATCACAGCTTGTCTTGAATTGCATAGTTTTTGTCTTTTTTTTTTTTTTTTATGGTTCGCATCCAGTCGCCCAGATTGTCATGTAATGTGACGAGTCGGTGCTATGATCAGGTACATACATTCCGTGAGCAAGTATTTTTTTAGGTTGTTTATGCCAAATCTGTCTCGAGCTGAACCTCGCATCAATCAGTTTTGGTTCCGATATTTATTCATTTCCTCAGCGGACCAGATGAGCTCAACTACAATCATTGCAGATTGTTTGCAAATTTCTTAATCACAGAAGATCTAGATGACAGTAGCTGAATACAACCATAACTAACTGCTGTGTCTCTTTCAGCTGGTCTGCAGATCAATTTTCTGTAAATTACGTATGTACATTAGTTATGCACACTTACAGTATGCAAGCAACACACAGAGAATATCGTATCTGAGAAGCCCAATCTTCTGGAAACTGGCATCTTAATTTGTATCTTAATGCACAAAAATATTCTTTTTTTTGTTTGTTTGGTGTGACCAAAAACAATTTTGTTCAAATTTGAATGAACTTGGAACAAACACTCACTTAAATTGGTGGCGGTTGCGTTGCAAATAGTGTCAAAATCCTGTCAACAATAACAATTAATGATCAAAGCCAATTATGTCACAGCCATTCCTATTGTTTTTTTTCCAAGCTCTACATCTGAATATTCTTCCTTCATATTTTTGTTCTCCTCACACACTCACAAAGCAGACATGGGAACAAGGAAACCATGTCACGGTGGCTTACAGTGAACACTTATTTACAGTTTTTCATTTATTTTGTCATGAAGTGCCCAACCCAGAATTTGGAAGAAGTGAAACATAATCTACACTACGACGGAAAGAGTTTGGAGGAAAAAAAAGCTTTGGAGGTTGTGAGGTTATTGAGTGATAAATCTGAAATCTTGTAATTGACATCAGTACAGTGGCTGAATTATCAACAAGCGGTCTTTCAAAGAGCACCCGTGTCACCTGATGCATGCCGCACACAAAGCAAGCACTGATGCCTGTATATTTGCCATACTTTCACTGCTGATGGAAGACGTTCTTCCTTTCTGGTGACAAAAAAAAAAAAAAAGGGCAAATATTAGCAGCAATGTGATGGTGCAATAAATCAATTCGACTACTGTACAAGGTTATTAGAATTTTCTTCTCTTACTGCCTCACAAACATTGCCTTCTGATGCATTCATCCTACAGTTCCACTTCATCGTCGATCTCCTCTTCTTCTGATTCAACTTGTTCAGCATCTCCTCGGCTCTCAACATTGTCATCGTGAGCGTCAGCCTCCGGTTTGGCATCACCCTCATCAAGCAGTAACTCATCGAGGAACTCCTCTTCATCACTCAGAATCTCCTCCAAATTTGCCTCCTCCCTTTCTGTGTGCGTTGGATCGGTTTCTGCAGTTTCTGGAGAGGGAAGCGGTTCTTCCATCTGTTCAGTGTAAGTCTCGTCATCTGAAGCTTCTTGCGCCGGCTCATCTGAGTCAGAATCTGCTGCTACAAGGTTTGCTTCCTCCTCTGTAGCTTGACCTTCTTCCTCGACAAAAGGAGATGGTTCTCCCTCAGCTTCATTCATGGGCTCTAGTACAGTTTCAGCACCTCCTATCATCTTTAAGAAGACAAAATAAATGATGTGCAGTGAGGCCCATATTCTCCCATACACGCATTCTCCCATTAAAAAAAACATATTTTGACCACAACATCTGAACCCAGTGGCCAAGACACCCGAAACCAATACATCTTTATTCATATAGCGCTATCCCAACTGTCTTCGGGCAGTAGGCGGGGGACACCCTGAACTGGTTGCCAACCAATCACAGGGCACACATAGATGAACAACCGTCCGCGCTCACACTCACACCTCGGGACAATTTAGAGCAGGGGTTGGGAACCTTTTTGACTTAGAGAGCCATGGAAGAGAAATATTTGGAAATGTATTTCAGTGAGAGCTATACAATATAGTGTATGAGCACGGGGAGAACATGCAAACTCCACACAGGAAGGCCGCAGCCGGAATCGAACCCTGCACCTCTGCACTGTGAGGCACGTGCTAACAAGTCGACCACGAGGCCACCCTGAATGAAATGTATATATATATATATATATATATATATATGAGGGTGGTCCATTTTGGAAAAGTTTGTCGGATTCGTCGGGCCGGGTCGGAAATCTTGTCGATACTATGACACAAGGATGTGTGCAAAATTTTATTCCGATCGGATAATTTTATCCCGTCCCGCAGAGCGACCAAAGTTTCCCCTATGGAAAGAATGTTACGGGGCTGAATGGTAGTACGGTTTCTCCCGTACAGTAAGGATTTTGTTTTGCTCAGTTCGCACTTGCAATAATTCAAAGACGGAAGACAGGAACGCATGTATTGCAAAAAAGGCAACCGTGGTGATCCTGCAACACTGGTGAGATTGTTGGTCCATGTTAACTGGTCCATCTGTCTATCTGTACATCTGTCTACATCGCGCGACTGTCTGGAAGTGATCCGATCCGTTTTGCATTTTTTTCAGGCCGGGAGTGGTGCAAAAACTAAAACCCTGCAATGTAGTACTTTTAAATATATAGATTTATACTTCTTGATATAGATATATATAGATATATATATATATAATTTCATAAAACAAAATGGCTTTAAAATCAGAGCCATGGTATTTTTTGGACTATATGTTGCGTTGGATTATAAATAAGGTTTTTGTGAGAAATTTATATTGCAAAAAAAACAAGTCCAAAAATGATAGCGCTCAGTCTCGTCCCCAAAATTCCTGCTCCCTCATCCTGGGTGCGATTGGAAATATTCTCTGAGCATGCCCTACTCCACTCCCACTACAGCATTCAGAAACTCGGAGCGTTGTTCAAATATGCTGTTCAGCTAGTCAGTGTCATGATCCTGTTCTTGTGTGTCACCAGCAGGTGGCAGTCAAGGGCCCTCCCTTCAGTGTGCACACCTGCTGCCAAAGTTCTTATCAATTGCCATGTATTTAAGGACTGTCAATCCGTTGTCGGATTATTCCTCACCTTGCTCATGACTTTGTCTACAAGTGTTGAATTTTCTAGACGATCTCACTAGTCACTCCATGTATTTTCTCGCCTCGTTTTTTCAATCATCACAGTAAGTATTCTTGTTGCTCAACTTAGTCTTATTTTTGTTTCCTTTGTGTTTTGGCTATTTTCTTGTCTTTTCATGACAAGCTATTTTGCAAGCGTTTTTGCTTAGTTTTTTTTTTCCCCCGGTTATTGTAACCAGTGTCCTTTGTTGTACTTTGTCGGTCTTCCGTTTTTGTTTTAATAAAACCTTTTTTGTTCAATTCCATCTGAGTCCACGTTTTGAGAGTCCGATTCTGTTTCGGACCCTTCCGGAACCGTAACATTCAGAAAGTCCCCAAAAAGGACTGCCTGAGGGAAGTGCATCAGGCAACCCAGATGGAAACAGTTCAAGTATGAGCTGCTGATTGCTTTGTAACCTAGGTTGCTTCCAGAAATGAATAGGAAGTGAGCGCACTGTTCTTTTCTGAACACATGCACTCTAAGAGTGGTGTCTGGGCATCGAGGTGAATTTCCAAACGCACCCCTGGCGACTGTAGCGAACGAATTCCGATTCAATGAAATTTTCGCTTCTAATTATGTAAAGGTTTTTCTTGTTAGTTTAAAACGGCTTACCTTAACTAGAATGTGACGTCGCATTGTGGCCAAAGGTAGAATTCTGGTCGGTTTATTGTGCCTTTTAGAGCTGTAAATAGTAAATCGTTGTGGCGGATGTCGCATACTCGTGGCGGTAGCAGAGTTATATTAAACAATAGTTGCCACAACGACAGTTTTTCCTCGTTCTTCTGCTTGCATTTCTTTGTCTACATTTTTAGTAAGCAATAAAGAAGTTGGCCACTGGCAGTAATGCATGACTACTTCTGTCTTTTAGCAGTGGACAAATACTTTTGATGACGGTGAAAAGACGGTGGTGGTAAAACACAAAAAGTCAATACAATCAGGAATCGGGCAATTTGGGTACCAGTCCGTGCGCTCATTTTAATATATACAGATCGCATCTGAGTTGAAGTTGAAGGACCAGCCAAACCATCAAAAAAGTGTGACTTATAGCCTGAAAAATACAGTACATTCAAACAAAGTACTGCGTTCACCCACTGAATAACCACCAAAAATGATTCTGGTTGGTTTCTTTACTATTACCTGTGTAACCTGCCACTGTAAGTTGTCCAGCTGAGCCCTGAGTTCTGCGTGCAGGCGGCTGCTGGCTGAGTTCTGTTGCCGAACTTTCATTCGAAGTGCACTGATCTGTTCCTCCATGTCGTCCTGTGTGAGCTGCTTGGAGCGCTCATTCGGCAGCAATTCTCTGAGGACAAAGAATGAGAATGTTTTTTATTGTTTTTACTTCTGCAGAATGCTTAGTGAGCATAAAAGCTAAAAAGCATTGAAACTTGCAGATGACGCATGCTGAAACATGTTTAGCAAATATTGAGCCTGAGCGTTTTTATAGGTTGGTAAATTCTTGCAAAATGATCATGAGGCCTACCAACAGCGACTTGGAGCAACACAGAGCCGTAGCCAGCAGGGCTTTGACAAAGCAAACATAATGTTATGGGTCAGAGGACAGGAGTTATTCCCGCCCAGCACAAAAAGCTGCTTTCTCCAACCTGATGGTCGCCATCTCAGTCTGGTACGACTTCAGCTGCACCTCCAGGCCCATCAGTTGCGCAGTCTGCTGCTTCAGTTTATCCCTCAGAGTAGCAACATCATTCAGCATGGCTTCTGCTTCTTCTAGGCGCCCCATCATGGCTTGGACTTGCTTAGATAAGTCGGTGCTCAACGTAACGAGGCCCTCGACCTGAAGTCCGACCTCCTCAAACTTCTCATTCTTCCCCTGAAGCTGGCTCAGCTGCTCCACAGACACAGTGGTCCGCTGAATCTCTGCTAGACGGGATTTCATCTCCGTGTGGAGTGATAGCACCTGAGCGGGGAGATCCGACGTTTTGAAGTGCTCTGCGGTAGCTAAGGCCTCATCCACCTGCTTCTGGGCCAACATGTACGACTCTTCCAGAGCATTGACACGACTTTCTACATCATCTGAAACATGTACCTGCAACGAGATGTGCAACAAACATGTTGAGCCACTTGAGACCGCAACTAATTCTGGGCTGGATCTTGCTGACCGCTTCTTATTCCAAACCAATATGAAATCCAATGAAGCTAAGGGAACTTGCAAGGACATTACTGTAGAGTTTAAATTTGCCCCTACCATGTCGCCTGAGCTGTAAATTGTTTGATCAATGATCTGCAATTTATCCAATGCGTAGCGTTCAAATCTTTATTAAGAACCCTTGGATTCGGTGCAAATGGTGACATTAAGGTGCACACCATGATGTGATTGCGACATGAGCCGCAATTATTTTTGATTATTGGCTATAGCATCGATTCAGACCAACATATTGTCATTCTTAGTTATTATATAATATATTGCTATTTCAGTGCACACTCTACAATGACACTCTAGATTCAAATTCTAATTCTACTTACAAAGTGAACAGAACACACACAAACACATAATTCGTATTGAGCCTTAGCTGAAAAAAAATCTCCGTTCAATTCTTGCTGGTTACCCTTACAGAGGTGACCAGTAAACAGTGTCTGGCCTTGTGTTCCGGGATCATTTAAACCACGGACTAAATTTAGCCATGGCACATTACGGATCCAGTTTGTGCATTATTATTATTTATATCAACTGCAGGCTTTGGAGCCACCGCATGTGAGCTAGGACACATCCCATAATAAGGTATAAATATATAGTACCTACTGCTATACACTGGAGTTATAGATCAAGTCAGCAGGTCATGACAAATCTGACCTGCTTGCAAGAGGTAGCGTGCACTGCAACCTCGCGTGTGGAGCTGGGAGGCAAGAAAATCACTAGTTGGCGTTGCAGCACGGACTCTAAAGTTCTTACCTTATCACTTGTCTGTCGCATGGTCTCCTGTGACGCCTGGAGCTTCACCACTTTCATCTGCATTCCCGTTACGGTGTCTGTCAAGTGGGTCAAAGTTTGGTGCTGCTGGTAGCAGAACCATGCTCCCGTTGCACCGCCGATGACAACGACGAGACATGCAAACAACACAAGCGTGTAGCTATTCCCTCCTGTTTGAACTTCGGATTCGGGAATTTCACTTTTGACGTGGTCCTCTTCGTGTTTGTGGTTGCTTTTCCCCTTCCGATGCTTGGCCGTCATTGTGCCCGCACAAAGAACACGATGTTCCGGGAGAGAAGGATGCGTGGTTGGGCACACGCACTGCCTTACCAATTAGACTCAGGGTGAGCGCACGTTGACGAGGCTTCTACAATCTCAGCACGAGATGAGAGGAAGTAAAGGAGGCGTGTACGTTCGTACTTACTTTTAGTCGGTCCATTCAGGAAGGGTCGCGTGGCAACCAGCTCCTGGGTGCTATTTTTTACTGCGGATGACATCCGAGCCGTGTGTGCGTGGTCATGCCGCGCGCGTTCTTGTCATTTTCATCACTTCCACTTTTAACCCCCTTTCTGTACGCGTCCGCAGTGTTCATGGCTTTCTCGTGTTGACCATGGTTGTTACACTGACGTTATGTGAAACAAAAATGTTGGGCCATCATCAACCACTTAAGCACTTTAAGTGGCCTAACATTTTTGGAGAATGTTTATATCAGAAATGTGGTCTAAAAGTCCTGGAACCTGCGTTGAGAGATTTGTTCCATGTTTAAATGCATGTATTAAGATAATTGCTGAAAATCTATGCAGAGAATGCACTGCAAATCTGCTGGTGTTAATTCTAAACAATAGTTAATTAAATTTAAATATCTGCATCCACACTACCCAGTGTTAGTTTTAACTGTTCACATCCAAACAAAATGTAGTTGACAGTGCTGCAATAATGACACTTCTGAGCAGAGAAGTCCTGGGACCAAAATGTTACATTGTCATCAGGAGGCAGAATAAAATTCTAGAATCCTTGATGTGTGCACAGAATAGTCCCTGTAATAGGTGCACAGGTCGGCACAGCCGAAACTGATAAATTCGTCATCTGAGGCTACGGTGGATTGGAAGTCTCCTTTGACCGCCAGTAGAAGCAGAATCCGGCGGAAAGGTCGATGCCGCTTCACGAATGGAGCTAGCTGGCAAGGTACTGCTCGACTCTGGTAGGACGCTAGCTTTTGCCTGGCTTTGTTTTAAAAAAAAAAAAAAATCAAGTCTATCTTAGTCATTTTAACATTTACCTCAACCCGCTAATTTGTGTCCATCCTTTTTTGTGCGCTCCACATCATGTCATTGTCATGGTTCTGTTTTTGTATGTCTCCAGCAGGTGGCCGAGGAGTGCCTTCCCTCCATCTTGCACCCCTGCTGTCAATGATAATCAACCGAGTACACTGTATTTAAGGACTTACAAGTTGCATCTCTGTCCGAATATTTGCCTTGCTCACAACTCTGTCTAGATTCTAGACTCTAGAATCTAGATGTTCCATTTTTCTTGTTGTTTATTTGTTTTGGGTTTTTTTGTTTCTTTGGAGGGGGGGGGGCTTGTTTTGTTTTGGGGGGTTTTTTTGTGCTTACCTCTGTAAGTAGTTTTTGTTGTAAATGTTAGTCACGATTTTGTATGATATGCTTTTTGGGTTTCTTGTCCATTTATTGACAAGCTATTTCCGTTCGTATTTTTTTCTTGCCTTTTGCAAGCATTTTTGGTTTTCTCGGTTTCCAGGTGTTGTAGCAATGTCCTTTGTTGTACTTTGTCAGTCTTGCGACCTTTTTGTAAATAAACCTTTTTTGTCGATTCTGTCCAAGTTCATGTTTCTTGAGTCCAATTCTGTCCGGAACCTTCCGGAAACGCTGACAGAGGTCAGCTTATGCTGTCCGGAGCCTTCCGGAAAGCCTGAGAGAGGTTGGATTATTCTGTCGTCTCCCCCGCATCAACGGTTACACATGATGGCCGCACCCCGACGCCATCTACTTTTTGGCGCATGGCGGCCTGTTGACAACAACTTATGAACACGTGACGGCCACAAGGTGCAATTGAATTGCTCTACTGTACCAATCCGTCACTCTGGGGATACAGAGGTGTCGTGCAGGTCCTTCGACTGCCCAGCCGTTAGGAGACCTCTGCAAAGACCTGGACTTCAAAGACTTGGTTTATTCTAATCATTTGCATAACAGAGGTAGAGAGACATTCAATCAAGGCTAACTATTTTATAAAAATGTGAAAAATAGAAGAGAGGACATTCCTTTGCTCCATCCACTCTTTTGGTAAACTGTTTGATGGTGTCAAGTCCATTGTATCATGTGATTAACTACTTTCCTCTTCCTTGCTAAAAAGGTTCAGATAACAGGAGTGAGTGCACGTTGTGGGACACATGTTTCATGAATAATTATCCATCCATCCATTTTCTGATCCGCTTATCCTCACAAGGGTCGTGGGGGGTGCTGGAGCCTATTCCAGCTATCTTCGGAGAGTAGGCAGGGGACACCCTGAACCGGTTGCCAGTCAATCACAGGACACACACAGACGAACAACCATCCACGCTCACAATCACACCGAGCGACAATTTTGAGTGTTCAATCAGCTTGCCATTCCTGTTTTTGGAATGTGGGAGGAAACCGGCGAAAACCCACACCGGCCCAGTGAGAACATGCGAACTCCACCAGGAAGGCCGGAGCCTGGATTGAACCCATGACCTCTGCACTGTGAGGTCGACGTGCGAACCACTGGATCACCGGGCCTCGCCCATGAGTAATTATTGTTATTTAAAAATATGTATTATTTGTTAAAACAAATCTTCCACAGTTACAAGAGTCAGGAAACAAATAATATATTAAAAAAGACATTTACATTTCCTTTTAACTTTTATTTGAGATTTAATTTGGTCATTGTGGGTAGGCCAAGAGAAAACGGCATTTTAGGGCGTACTCCAGACTTATTTGATATTTTCAAAACTATTTTCAAGCATTCTTTTCTTATAGTTTTTAAAGGTTCGGTTTCAGGACAAGTAAATTTACTCAGAAACGGCATATTTTTGAGTATTTTGTCTATGTATATATATATATTTTTTTTTTTTTTTGATGAGTGGGACGTAAAATGTCCCCCAATTCTGAAATGGCCCAAATAGTGCCGATGCCCACGAAGGTTGCCATCGCGCAATTCTCATTAGATCAAACTCCTCACTTTTTGGACGAGAGGCACAGTCAGTCAATCAGATCGATGATACCTCTCTTTCGGTCGGTATGACATTAACTTACCAGAAGAGGTCAGCGTTGTAATGCACAATTTTTAAACCATTAAAATTAAGCATGTCAGTCAGGGAAAGCAGAGGAATTGCTTCAGAAAGAGCAAGTGAGGAGTTCAGTTTGTTCTGATGTTTTAAGCACGTGATGTTTTTTTCTTTTTTTACTACTGTGTTGGTTATTTTTACAAAACTCTTTACACAAATAAGAAAACCTTACACCAAATTGGCCAAACATCATAGTCCATCCATCCATCCATTTTCTGATCAGCTTCATCCTCACAAGGATCACGGGCTGTACTGGAGCCTATCCCAGCTGTCTTCGGGCAGTAGGTGTGGGACACCCTGAACCGGTTGCCAGCCAATCGCAGGGCACACAGAGACGAACAACCATCCACGCTCACACTCACACAGGGGGACAATTTCGAGTGTTCAATCAGCCTGCCATGCACGTTTTTGGAATGTGGGAAGAAACTGGAGTACCCATAGAAAACCCATGCAGGCATCGGGACAACATGCAAACACCACACAGGAAGGCCGGAGCTGCACTGTGAGGTCGACCCCTAATCACTGGACCACCGGACCGCCAACATCATAGTTCTTTCAAAATAAAATAGATCATGGTTAACTCTTCAAATCTTTGCAAATGATGTCTTTTTGTATCAAACCATTAATACAAGTCATTATATTAGTAAACACACAACGCACCAACTACACACTGATGGGAAGAATGAAAAACGCATTTGGCTTTTGCTTTCTCTGTGCACATGGTATAGGCTATGTCGGTTTAATGTAATACTTTTATCAATAATTCTGTAAACTTTTGTCATAGTTTTGTTTAACACACAGGGATCCAAATGTTATTCAAAGTGTTAACTGTATTTACTGTAAACATCAACACAAACATAAAACAATGTTTTACCATGTCAAAACACACACACACACACACACACACACACACACAGTTGCAGAACCCACGCAGGCACGGACAGAACATGCAAACTCCACACAGAAAAGCCGGTACCTCTGCAATGTGAGGTCGACACGCGACCACCGGGCCGCTCTATCTATCTATCTATCTATAATATATATATATATATATATATATATATATGTATATATATATATATATATATATCAGAGGCGATTGCTCTAAGAATTACAATTGAATAATTTTAATGTAGGACAGCCAAAAATAATTGGTTTGATTAAATATGACTCTTTTGTGCATCTGCATTGCATTTTTTTTCAGTATACGGTATTCCTAATATACCGCTACAGATAACTTGTAAACTACCAGAATACTAATAAATGGCTGTTCATTTTCTTCCTCCCTACCCATCGCAGTCATTGCACTCATCACTGTGGCTCTCCCCCACATGAAAATAACGACACGGGATTCAGGCGTTAACCTGAGCATTTATTGTGTTGTTTCAAGAGTGGATTGGTGGGTGGGTACCTGTATTTTCTGAACGGATGCTGGAATACTCATTAGTTCATTTTGCATAGGTTTTGCCTGTCCGCGGACAACTGTCCACTTTAGGGATAAGGGGGGAAGAAATCACAAAAACCATGCAGAAAAAGTGAAAGGCACAATAACCATAGATATCAGATACACCACATTTTGTGTGTCTAAATATTTCTTTCATGGGGAGGTGTGTTCTACTTGAGATGTAACATGGGCCAAAGGCCATGTGTTGGTAAGCTGCCATCATTCAGGGCACAACATAAACATCAGAAACTCCCCAGACATTCCTTTAAAACACCCTAGCTCTAATTACTGTACAGAAAAATACAAGCATATATGACACAGATAATTTGATTTCTTTAAATATAAACGGTATCCTGCCTCATCGTTTACCTCTCCATTTTCCCTCATCAAAAGAGTTCGCCACATTGTATGACCATTCCGACTTTTACTCTGAATGCACACTTTCCAAAGCTTACACACAACACACCGGTCACATTTTCTTCCTACATGACAACAGACGTGGAAACAAAATAAAAATAAGCAGTACACATGGCTTGAGCTTTGCATTTTACATGCATGCGCGTACATCCACCAACAATCTTGCACACATAGATCTGTGATCTCATCAATAATTCAGTTGTGCGTTGTCATTTTATGTCTATACCCTGCACAACACACATACTGTATTGTAAACAGAGGGGGGAGGGGGACTATCATAAATTAATACATATTTTAATAAAACCTTTTTATGATATTAGTTTATGAAACAACAATTTTGGTAGGGAATTAAAAAGAACAATTACTTGGATGGTTAAAAAAAAAAAAACTCCCATTCGCTTTCCAAAGATTGCAAAAGAATCACTGGTTCACCCTTTTTCTTTTGAACACAGCAAAACAGATTGAACTACAGCCATGTGAACTTCCTCTCAAAAGTCCAAATGGACCTTCTGGGAGGCAGTGTAAGCAAGCCTACGGAACATCGACTCTAAGCCTGGTGTGATTTTCATTGTGCTCCTCAGTAAGATGCGACTCAAAAGGGGGCAAGGATGCAGCCCTTTCCATTTTGATAAGGAGCATCAAAGGGATGCAGAGAGCATTCACCTCAGGTCATGAGGAGCTTTGACATCCAACAGAGCACTAAAAATTGTTCTTAGAATATTTACAAGCATAATAAAGGACTATCATAACGATTTTTTTTTGGGGGGGGGGAGACTAATGAAAGGGTCACAAAAGAAAAGCACAAGCACACAGCACACCACTAAAACTCTTGACTCACAAAAATGAATGACAGTGCAAACATACATCCATGTCTCCAATAATGTACAAACATTATTTTACACTTCAGCACCATTGTTTAATATTGTTTCATACATATCATTAAGCTGAACCTCTAGTTGGACAATAAGAATTTTGTGAGCAGACAGGAACAAACAGCGGGTGGTGATGTTCAAAAGATCTAATCGAAGTTTTAGATTAGTTTTCTTAAAGCAAAAAAATAAAATAAAAAAAAGAAAGCCATCACACTTGCTTTTTTTTGTTTCGTAAAAGTGGAGAATCACAGCACACACTGTGGCTGGTGTGTGCTGGGCACATCGCTTCTGCTGGCACATTCACCACACAATTGAATGGTCATTATCATGCCATGTGCCAAGTTTTAATGCATTGACCTTGTCTTCATGAACAGATTGATATTGGTGGAACCTTGCACAGACTGCAAAACCAACAAAACAAACTGAAGAGTTGTACCATCAATACCGGTCTCTACACACTTACTATATCTCGTCATGTCATGCAACCCACGCGCAAGGTCTGTCTCCAATTATTGTACTGAAAATATCATGAGCCTGTAAATATTTTTCGATTAAAAAGCTAACATAACTTATATGATACATTTGTCCGACATCAATGCATTTAAATTCTGAATGCTCTTTTGACTGATGCCAGACAACACAGGGCACAGTCGTGGGTCACTTCACGCGTTGCTTTTCTTCTTACTCTCAGCCATTGCGTCTAAGTCTCCGTTTCATTCCATTTACTCTTTCGTGTGTTTTGCTCTCATGCGCGTACCATCGCCTACTTGCGCTCACCCCTCTCAAAGTGCGACGTGAGGAATCACACAATGTTCAGTTCCCGTGTTAAATTTGGTTTGCTCCAATGCATATGCAATAAATTTTATTGCACTTTTCATTCCACAATCATCACACACCATCCTTTTGTTTTCTGGACAAAAATAAAATGTTCATGCAGATATGAGGGAATGATGAGCTGCTTTCTGTGCGAATCAAGTTTAGCCATGTTGCAGTCACGCAAAGTTCCCACGATTTTCTTTTCTGTTCAGTCAGAGAAGATCGCTCATTCGTGTTAAATGAGTCATGAAGTTGTATCTGATTATTGTTGAAAAAAAATGCCTTGGGAAAGAGTTCAAGACATTTTACTGAAAAAGAGAAAATGAACAGAGCTGTATGTTGACTTCAACTTTTATGAACATTTTGTTGCTTTTTTAGACACAGCAGAAAATATAGGTAAGTTCTATTCAGTTCCACTCTGAGGGCTTAGCTGCAAAATAGGAAGAATCCAATTAGTCTGAAGTGTATTACAAACTCAATTAGACAGAATTTCTGTTCCAAAGTTGGCGTCGAAGGTAGACTATGCTCTGCTAATGCCCTCAGAGTAGATGATGGCCCCCAGTTTCTCGGGAGTCTAGTGGCAGAAGTTACGCTTGCTAGGCTGGTGCAGGAAGGTGTTTCGAGCGTGACTTGCGTGGCGGGGGATCTGCTCCCTGGTGCGGTTTTGGCGTTGGATGCGGTTGCGGCTCAGGTGGCGCCTTTCCATGCGAGCTTTGCTGCGCTGGACTCTGGCCACATGGGCGACCTTAGGCTGGACATAAGGTCCAAAACTCACCCTGAATGGCCCAGGGGTGTGGGTGGCTGGAGGAGCAGCTGGCTCGGCCACTCTGCTGCAGGAGGGGAGACAAAGGGTAAATGTGATTGTTGAGTTGCTCATGATGGTGCTTGGGTGGGGGGTTCGTGAATTCCTCACCTCACGCTACTCGCCATGCTCACAATGCTTTCCTCGCCCACCACCGAGAGGTTGCCATTGGAGACCATGGACAGGTTGCTCGGCAAGACATACACAGACATGCTGGGGTGCTCGATGAGCAGGTCCTCCATGGGGCTCGCCTCTGCCGTGGCTCCTTCTGCAGTAAAACAGGGGGGAGGGGTGACAAACCAGCTCTCATCCATGCAGCCTCTCTCTGAGCCTGCCCTACTGCTATCCCCGCTGCCCCCACACTCGCTCCCAGCAGGAGAAGTCGACTGAGAAGTCGAGGAGGCTGTGGACAGTCTGGCCCGTCTTGACAATGTAGTGACGCCCGTGTTTGATGGGTTCGGACTAGCCGCGGGGTCTGTCGGTAATATTGCCCCCTGCGCCCGGCCGCTACGTGTCCTCCGTCGCTTGTTTGGTAAGCGGGGAATAGAAGTTAGGGATTCAGTCCGTGTTTGAGCATCTTCCAGGTTTGATTGGTTACTGTCTGAGATTGGATATGCAATAGTAAATTGGGCCTGTGTCTCAGCGTCGGCTGGCATCATGCAGCCAGACTCGTCTAAGCGCATGGCACGCATGACATCAGGGATGGGAACGTCAATAAGTTGGAGGTGGGAGGATTTGATGCAAATGCCGTGCAGGTAGAAGGGATCATTTTTAGCCATCACATACGCACGCGCACGCATACCAGTATGGGGGATGTAAGGGTGTGTACAAAAAATCGGGGGGAGGGGTGGAGAAGAGGGAGCAAGGAGACACAAAACATAAAAGAGTCACATCATTAGTTGTGTTGACCCTCTTGGGTTTTGAATGAGTTCTCCTAGTTTTTGTTGTTTTTGAGTGGCATCTGAAGACAGACATTTAATTTTTTTGAACCACTTTGTCATAATTGATATCAACATGGAGGAGTGAGGTTTATGTTCAAAATGAATTGCATCTTTCCATTGTCTGGCTGAAAACAACTCAAGTAGGTTTGTCTCCTCGGCCTGTACCTGATCCAATTCCTGACCACATACACCCTTTACTTCGCCTCCAAGCATGATGTTCAATACAAGTGGGGACAGCGCTTGTGCTCTTTAAAGTCAATTTCTCTAGTTTTCTCAACTTAAGAGGCATCTTATGTTACTTAACTCTCGAAAGCTACTGTGCTGTCAAACTACAGATGACTCACCAGGCAGGTTGACAAGCATCCATCCCTCCTCGTCGGCCTCTGTCACACAGGGATTAGGTCCCTTCAGCTCAGCTGCCACTTCTTCTACCTCCCCAAACAGCAAGTTGCTCAGACGTTGAAACATGACGGCTTGGCCTTAAGTTTTGAAGACTTGATGCGCAAAAAAATAATAACGCAAAAAATAATAAGAAATAAAAAGCTATAGCTGCCTTTGAATGGTATTCGTTTTCACGTAAGACTTGTAGCGGTGTATTATTATTATTTGACTTTGCTTTGACTCAGAGCCCTTTGCTGAATCTTGGTTTGGATGAAGGTAGCGTGGGCCTCAGTAGTGCAAATGTAAGGGTTCACTTGGTTTGGAGCAAAGGCCTGAAAGAGAGCAAACAGACAATAATGGCGTTACAAAATTGTGTTCCTCACTGGCAATACATATTTTCGGAAAAGGGTTCAATGTCAAATAGTGCTAGAAAGTCAACACTTTGTATTCCCTCCAAACAAAACCCAGTCATCATGGTGTGGACCTGATTTGTGTCTAATGGTAAGAGTGAAGAGCACAGTGAATTCAGAGTGAGCTCATTGGATTGCTTTTTAATCCTAAATTATATATTTTAGCGAAGCCAATGAAAGTGTAAACCTTTTTTTTTTTTAACAATGACCTGTGTTCAGAGGTAATCAGTATGTACCATATATTAAAGAGCTCACAGCATTGATCATATAGTCACTTTGCAATAAAATCAAGTACTCATCAACATTTGTGTTGTAAAACACTAGATAGGCTGTTCTTTTAAATTGTGTCAACATTTAAACCTGATCATGAATCTGATGTATCACGTTTGATCAGCACAACCAAAGAAATTTTAAATGTTTATTGTGGTTTGCAGTGAATGATGTAGAACACTGCATCCAAGTGAGAGCTGTTTCGATTATTGAGCCGCTCTTTCACAATACCAGTCAAAAGTTAAAACAGTTTCTCGAACAAAAACGTTTTGACTGGTCATGTAGCGAGAACACATACATTTCAGTTGTTCAACACCGCTGTGAATTTTAACCACACGAGTAATAATATAATTTGTTAATTATTACCTCATTGTGTCAAAACAATGCAAATATATAGATGCATAAACTCAAGTTTTGATTCAGATCTTGCATTGGATCTCATGATGCTGGCAGGTTTGGACATGTGTTAATAAAAGAATGCTAGTGTAAGGAATACAACAAAAGGGAGTGGTGAATGACATTAAGCAACGCACAGAAAGTACGCATTTACAGAACATTAAAAGGAAATGAGATAAACACTGTAGAATTTACTGAGGCAAGGAATAATGCCTGGCTTAATGTGTAACAATGATGTAATAATGTTCAACTAAAGTTGAAAAAGTCTGCCGATAAAGAGTGCAGGTGCGTATGGTAAGATGCTCTACCTCAGTGTTTTTCAACCCGTGTGCCGGGAAAATGTCCAATTTGTATGCCTGTGCGGTCTTTCGCCCAGAAAGTAATCATGTAGTACCCTCCCATACCGCTAGGGAGGAGCAACAGCTAGCCAATTGTCTTGTGTTTCGACGAGAGACAAGCGAATTTGTGACGCATGAATGCAGGACGACGGTGAAACAATAAATATGAAAGAAGTTTTGAGAATTGTATTATATATTTTTTTTATAAAAAAAAAAAAATTAAAAAAATAAATAAATAAATATGAAAGATGATAAAATACTGTTTTCTTTGTGTTCATTTGATTCCAATTCAAGCTGTTATAACGTCATTCTTCAATGTTAAAAACGGTTATAGTAACAATATAACACGTTAATTGTTAAAATAAGGTGTGTGGGGGGGTGGGGGGGTGAACATTTTCAGCTAGTGGTGTGCTGCGAGATTTTTTTCAATGAAAGAAGTGTGCCTTGGCTCAAAAAAGTTTGAAAAACACTGCTCTATCTATCCTTTTTTGAGAACACAAAGATAAAAATGAACTTCAGAGCACCGATTCATAGAGTATATTGCTGGCATCTGGCCAAAACCTCCTACTGTTGTACAGTATGTCATGATTTGGTAAATGTAATATTTTTTCACAAATATATACCTTTGATCAGTCCACACATTCAGGTGTTATTTTTATAAATTATGGAACAAGCTAAAGTATTGAAAATAGTTGGCTCTCTCTGTGATGTTGATGGTTGAACAAGCACGCCATTTTTGGGGTCACCTGAAAGTGATCATTTTGAAGGTCCGTGGATTCCACCCAACGCCAGCAACAGACAGATTTGGATAAGATAAAAGTTAAGGTTTAGACTCAACACTCAGGTCTTGTGTCTGTTGACAACACTAGCCTTATTTTCCTGCACCCAAGAAAATGAACTCAGAAGTGGAGAAAGAACTTCTGGCTGCACACACAACAGCTTGCTAACGCAGGGAGAAGAAATCAAGTTTTGTGTCTTTTTGAAATTTGTTCTCATCTAAGAAACATTCCAGTAAAATAAATACTGTACATATAATTTATAGAGTCAATCAATGCGATTTGTTAGTCAGAAATATGGGTGGACGCTGTGAGAATTGGAAAGAGTTTAATGTGGGTTTTTGGGTTGTTTACAGTGAACCGTAACACTTAAATCATTCTGAGGTCTAATTGAGAGTTTAAAAAAAACAGCACAACTATCACAATGAGTTAAGCACAGAGCCAGTGATAGTTAAATAGCGTGAGAAGCACAGCTCTGATCCATCCGCTCATCCATGTTGACACGATTGGCATAACTAAACATGTACATAACTAGAGGCATATTTTCTTTCCAAAAAAATTGGGCGTGACTTGAAATGTTCATTACATGTGCCGTGAGTAACATGGGGGTCCACTGAATACTATATTTATATAATCTGCTGCTGAAGTGTTGCTGGATGGTTGGCAAATACAATAACAAGTGGTGTTAGCCCATCTATTAAATTGTGCATTGTTTGTTAACATTAAGCTAGCAGACTTTCCTGAGGCAGTTTTACAATTTTTTTACCTATACAATGTGTAATTCAGTTTATGTTAAGTTTAATATCACCTGGGAGTGGCAATAAACAGCTGGCAGCAACTTTTTAAAAAAGATTGTTCACTATCTGCCCAACTGCTTTTTATTGTTAAGTGAGTTGAATGGAGTTCACTGCTACCATTACAGCACTCATGAAAAACTAAGTCACGTCACTTTTAAATAAGGTACTACTGTTCTTTTTTTAAAGAAATCATATTGATATTCTCATTAATCATTATTTCAATTATACATTTTAACTATTTTTGTTACTTCATTTATAAATGGTCCATCTGTCAATTTAAAAATAAAATGTGGCCCTTGAGCATAAACGTTTGCTCGCCGCGGCACTAGTTCCTTAGGGTGTTCGGAAAGTCATTGTACTTCTATTTTACGACTAATGTCTTAAAAACTCAATTGTACAGTGACTTCCCTATCAGCACCCAGTATTACAGATGAAAAGTGCCTCATTTGCCTGTAGGGGTGGGGTTATATAGTGGGCGTGGCCAGGGGATGAAAACAAGATGTGTGGCGTCACAATGTTGTCACGAAATCGCAACAAAAAAAGGAAAAAAGCGTCTGAGGCGCAAACGCAGGGAAATTGTAGGACGCGGTAGCCGTGAAGCCACAGGAAATGCGTCCTACTGCATTCAACATAGCGTCATTATTCTACCTCTCGACCACCATCTAATATTTGAGCGTTAAATGTGCGGCGCTGTTACGTGAAACTATCGCGTTGGTCGTTATGTAAAAGCAGTAAAACTCCACGGCAGAATGCGGAGCCAGACAGCTAGCGGCAGACTTTGGAATGGGTTATAGTATCCAGGTTACAGATGAATAATCCGTGTAAACCCTCCATTTGAAGGGTCAAAGCAATGACAGTCGAAGCTGATCAGTGACGCGCCCCACACAACGAGACGTCGACCTACACTGACAATAGAGTAATGCAGAGTGGAAAATAACAGCGATGTTGACTGGGAACCTTAACCTCAAATGTCCGCCTCTCTTAAAACATCAACATCGGCCATCGAGCAATTGGTGCAGCTTGCACAACAGCGGCTGCACAATGCAGATTGGTGTCATCTTCCGAGCAAAAGGCATCGCAAAAACACTTAAGACGCTTTGAATCACACACGACATTGAAAGATTTAGGTTGTGAAGGTAGAAGGTTACTTATACCGCAATGGAATTTTTCCAGAATGACGATTGACAATTCATCTTCAAAGCCGTCATGTTTAAACTGAGGGTACGACGAAAAAACAACAAGAAAGAAAGCTGCTTACCTGCCTTTGCAATATTATTCAAGTTGTAAACGAGATCACACACAGTAGGAACTACAATTTTTAAAGCATAGCTTTAGATAGCCTTTAAGAGAGGTAGTTAAAACACCATCGTATAAAAATAAAAGGCTTTCTTCTCAGAAGAAGAGCTTCGTGTAAAATATTACACCAGTGTTTCAGATCATAACATCTGGAGCTTTTCGAGCCTCCGCTATCGTTTCTCCTCCTATTTATTGCTGCCTACAGCTGATCCTCAGATCAGTATGTAGAACGTACAAAACAGCTGATTGTGAGATCACAAAGCACAAGGATACGCCTTCGCTCCGCCCACATGAAGCCAGCGGGCCAATCAGAATCGGACACAAGCCAAATGCTGGAGCTGTGGGAAACGGCAAGACTGGGTGGGGGCTGGGCCACAGAGACTTGAACCTGCACCCAGAGAGAACAGTAGGACTTGAGCTGACTGATCTCTGACCAGCAACTGCCATTGCCACGGCTGCAATATAGAATGCAAAGCTGGGGGATGGTAAACTGACTCTGAGTCGGTACGCGCACACCGTCTTCTCTATATGAGGGCCCGTGAGGGACACAATTCAGGGTGACCTCGCATAGACACTACTGAAAGCGTCATTCCTGAACGTGTCACTCACATTAATAAGTTATTCAAATTCATGATGAATTTTCTTTTGCTCACATACAGAAGAGCTTACTTACAACGGTTAAACACTCCAACACACCACTAAAAATCTCTTATACACACAACTTCATTTTACTGGTCAAATACACACATGCATTAGTAAAAGAGTTTTTTTTTCCAGGATGGCGCTGGAGTAGGCAGCCATTGGCGAGTGCTCTTCAAGAGCCTTGCTTTTTTGTTGTTTTTTTGTTGTTTTTGTCTTTTGTTATGTCACATGGTGTTTGTTGTTTCGTCATGTGGACCTGATGTGGACTGTTTTCAGCGTTTTTTTTTTTTTTTTTTGGCCACGACATTCATCAAAAGAGAACAATCTGTGCTGGGTGGTTGCACCTTCTCGGCAGCACACCTGTACCAGCACTGATTTTGATTGGGAGGAATGTCGGCGCCATTTGACTGTCAGTGCTGGACAGCCCCAGGTCGCTTGTGTCTTTTGCACCTGTAATGGGCAGCATTTTTCACAAATCTGTTTTGTTCAGTGGAGATGTCGGCGCTGTTGGACGGACAGTCAGCGTTGGTGTGGCTGGATGGATGGCTGCTGAAGTTGAGGGAGAGGAGAGAGGAGCGATTTGGAACTGAGAGTCGCCGCTTGGAATTGAAATGGATTTACATGGGACAGGAGAAGTGAACCAATCTCTTTTTTTCGTCAATGGATGCTACAACTTCTTGTTGACTTTGAAACTTAGCTTGTAGCCGACGCATGCACATTTTGAGCATGACGTCTCTGAACCACTGGTAAAAGGACACTTTGATCCTCTCCTCTTTCATCTATAACTGCTTCAGACAACAATGTGTATGCAGGAAAGTGGTGAAGATTGCACGACTGTCTGTGTCCTATGTGTTCTGTTGTGGTATTTTTGTTATTTTGACTTCAAGATGGCGCCGCGAGAGTGGCTGCCTTTCTAGCAGCTCCTATATTTTGTTGTTCTACTTCTTCCTTTCATAACTTTGCTGCTGTGAATTGGGAATTTCTCCATTGCGAGACTAATAAAGGTTTTCTTATCTTATCTTATCTTATCTTATAAACATTGTCATAAAAACTGCAGAACCGCTTTCATACACACTTTTTTTTCTGCTCACCTGCATCAGTGAAATACTCCTTGTCACACGACTAAAATCCTTTTGCACTTCCATCCATCCGCTTTCTTTTTTTAATGTTTTGTGATTGAATCAACAGTTTGTAGTTCTTAAATTCAGATTGTGTATAGCAGCAATTTTTATTTTTTTGTCGAGAAGCGAAGTCAATGTGATTTAAAAATGAATCTCTGATGTAATTTTGAGAATTTTTATTGTGCAGACCTCAAAATTCAAATCTTAGGACTCTATCATGAAATCAGATAACATTAGTGATTATGAATTCATATAAATTGATATAATTTTAACATTAGGCCTGTCATGTTCTCTCTTCCCGCGACCCTTGTGAGGATAAGGGGATCAGAAAATGGATGGATGGATGTTCTGTCTTGAGTGTGCGCATATTAGTGAAGGGCGTTTACCTCCAGCAGGTCAACCTGTGACGCGTTTCCCCATCAAGCCTGGTTCTGTATTTAAGGACTGACAAGCTGCTTGGTCCTTGTTGGATTATTGACCTTGCTCGCTGTTGTGCTAAATTGTGCTTTTCTAGACCTCTCAATTCCTAGTTGCTCTCATTTTATCCATACATCTTGTTTTAAGTATTTTTGTTATTCTCTTATTGCTCTTTATTTTTGTGTGAATGGACTTTGGGATATTTAGTTTGTGCACTCTTGGCGTTCGTTTGAATCTTGCATCTGCAAGTGGTTTTGTTTTTCCTGGCTCCTTGTGACCAGCGATTTCAGTTTATACTTTTCTGTAATATTTTTCTAAACGCACTTTGTCTGAGCCTGCATTTTTGGAATCCTAAAAATTATTCGGTTTGGTCAGAAACTGAAAAGGCCATTCCTCCTGACTTACACTGTAATGGAAGTTAATTCATTTCCAGTTCTGGTCCAATTTATCTTGTATGATTTTTCTGTCCAGAATCCAGACAGTTGTTAATTGTTCCGCTATCTCGCTGTTCAAAGTTGAATGTTCTCCACTTTCACGCGGTTCCAACCAGATGTGCGTGAAAAGCGTAATCGATGACCAAACCATTTAATTGCAGTGTTAAACACACTTGCCGTGTCATTTTTAGTTGAGTTAGCATTTAGCTTGGTTTCTTCGTCTTTTTTCGCCATTCGTTTTGTGAGAATGATACTCATCAGAAATGCATCTTATTTACCGGGCGATGATTCCTGACTTAGGAGCGACAATGTGTTTAGGTGCACCAGTAACCAGCTGAAGCTGTTGCTAGCAAGCTGCTTGTAGGTAAGTACTGCAGAGCTTCTCCTACATTTTGACCGGTAAACGGCAATGTGAAACCGGTTATTTCGAGCCTTGCATTTGTATAATACAGTATACTGAAATATACGTTTAAGCTGTGTGTAATAGACAGTTTCTTCACTAGTGTATTCAAGTGGGAAAAATAATTGGTTGGGTGTGTGTGAGCATTTCAGTATTGTGGAAGTGTAATTCAGTTGCGTGGATGACTATTGCAGTTGTGTGAGTTAATCCTGAATTACTGTGTCTTGTAGTTGATTAGGGGAAAGTTATACTGTGTAGCTGTTCACTTGGTGCTAACAATCCATATTTACCTTTCTATAACAGATGTTAACCCATCTGGTGATATATGGTATGTTTATACCAACCATTTGTTTTGCATTTGTAACTACATTTATAAACTCAAAACACCTGTCTATGTACCATGATTTTCATATTTATAAAACATTGTATGTAGGCCACCCAATTAAAAAAAAGCAGTCCTCTCTCTCAACCATCAATGCTGTTGTTGCATTTAAAAACTATTTGTAAACAGATCCTTCTCCCTCCCTCTCCATCTCCTGCTTTTCCTTGCTGTGGGCCTCCACGTGCTATTCAACAGCCAATCAGAAGGGCTTTGTCTGAATGCAGCATTTGAGTAACCAATAAGCTATGAGGAGCCTAAACCCCTGCTGGTTACTTTTATACTTTGCAGTCTTCCATTGCCTTTACGAAACTGTTACCTAATAAAATGCTGTCAAGACAATCCTTGCACACGTTTATCATTGTTGAAGCTCAGTTTCTCTTGATAAGTAGCAGTCACCTCATGTGGGTTTATCGTCATGTGTCCCACCTTGCTTATGATGACACGTGAGGCATGTGCGCTTGCATGCAGGGTCCTCCATGCACCTGTGTTCTTATGGGGCTTACTGTGGAATGTGTAATTCCTTTGGAAAAGTCAAGAACACACAGCAACCTAATTGTCTCTTTCAAATGACTTGTGTCCAAGAGTTACACACTTCAAGGCAGAAACGCCAGATGAAACTGGACTGTACTATAGTGGGCACTTTTCTTTTTTCATGCGTGTTTTATTAAGTTCAGTTTTTGTGTTTGTTGTCTTTTCTGTGTTGACTGGATTGGGCTTTTTTTTGTAATATATATCAAATATCAAGATTGTTGTTCGTCTGTGTGCCCTGCGATTGGCTGGCAACCAGTTCAGGGTGTACCCCACCTACTGCCCAAAGGCGGCTGGGATAGGCTCCAGCACGCCCTGCGACCATTGTGAGGATAAAGCGGATCAGAAAATGGATGGATGCATGGATGGATAACACATCAACATTTTAGCCTAAACCTGGCACCAGGATCTTTAAAAATGCAAGTAATTACACCTAGCTAGTAGCTACATGAGCGGATGTCGAAAAGTCGAACCAAATGAACCGCACCCAGGGTGGTTGTGTGTACAAGCACCTGACTTCCATTCCAACGCCTAATTAAAATAGTTTTTGTCTACAAGTTGTGGTCCAGTGTTTATCTCTTTGCTGAGAGATTATAGCAAAGGGGTCTGCGCTGTTTGATCTTTGTTAAAGCAAGATAGAGTTTCGGCCTCTGCGGTTATCGGGTGCTAGGCAACTCACACAGACGCTCAAACAAACGCATTCACCTCACAGTGATGACTATGTGAGTGACACAACAGGAACTGTCTTTGTGTGTGCCCTTGTTTTTGTTGTCAAACTCGTCACACGTGTGGTGGAATCATCCAAACAAATAAGTGTCATGCCAAATTCACATTTTGTCCATGCAAAATACTTTTTTTTTGTCCCCACAACATAATGCCAGACCTTTTCAGGATTCCCAGTTTCCCAAGTCGGTTGAAGAAACAGGTGAAAGTTCAGAGTCGGGCCTTGCCTCCCATGTGCATGTTGACGTTCACCAATGTGACACGCGGCTCCACCGGGATGCTTGTCCTCACTACGGCTGACACAACTACCCAAGTGCCTAAAAATCCAAAGCATTGCTTGTGAATGCTTGAAGATTTAGGTGTTGCCAATAGACAGACTGGCTCATACTTCACACCTGTTGCATCTTAACACTCGTTCTTTGTTTTTTTTTGTTTTTTTTTTTGGCGCTGTTTAATGGTTCCCTTTAATTGCTTCCCACACAGTTACATGGACATGGTGTCTGACAAGCACAAATGTTTGTTGCAGTGTATTTTAAAAAAAGAGACCATTCGGAAATGTGCCAATACAAAAAAAGCACTGCCCCTCTTTGACCA